GGCAGCAGAGCACTGAGCCAAATCCCTGGCCCTATTGTCATTTTTCTTATGTTTATCTGCAGCCCATTTCTGGGATGCACTGTTCTTAATCATGATGGCTAGTTTAAAAAATGTATTGTGATCTCTTTTGAAAAATTGTTTAGGATTTTCACCTGGTCTCAGTGAGATTAGCTGGTAATTTTATTTATTTATTTTTAGTAATGCTCTTGATTGTTTTTCACTTGCCATTTTTGCGCTTGTCTTTTGTACTTTGAAGTATGTGATACCAAAATTTTTTTTGAATGTTAAAAAAATTTTCCAGGGTCTTCATCAGTGCCCTGTTCTGTTTAGTATTGATAGATATTTTTCATTACTTTTGTTTTGGGTCTTTTTGTATCTTTAGTTTGTTTTATCTGTTTTGGATTGTCTTTTATTATAGAGCCATCTTTATGTATATTCTTAGTAAATAATGAAGAATAGTTTAGCAAAAAAGCTCTTAATCTTTCTTATTGATTAAAATTTTTTACTCACCTTTTTTTAATCTTTTTCAAATGAATGAGATGATTAATTTGTATTTTCTCAGTGAACTAGCCTGTTTTTAAAAAACTTTAATTTTGATTTTGCTTCTCTTTTGAGGATATCTTTTTCTTTTTTGCTCATAATTTTGTTCTATTCCTAAACACTCATTTTATTCTGCTTTTTGTTTTTCTTAATTACTAAGATTTTTAGAGTGGTAACTTTTCTTTTATTAGACTCCCATATATTTTGATCAAATATATTTCTGTTTAAGATATTTTACTATGTTCTATAATTATTTTCCTGACCTGTTCATAATTAGGAGATGTGTTTCTTTACATTAGAATATGGTTTATTACCACATTTTATGTATGTGTGTATATATTATTTCCCAGTAATAACTTATAATTTTACTTGTTAACTAGTTCACGCTCTTGTTTTCCAGTTATACTCTGAAGAAATTGAAATCACATTGCATATATTACTTTGTAGCTTTTCTTTTAATACAGCATTTCCTTGTGTAATTAAGTAATTCTTCTATAACTTTTTTTTTCTTTTTTTTGGTACCCGGGATCGAACTTGGGATCTATCTTGTGTTTGCAAGGCAGGTGTGGTACCACTGAGCTAAATCCCTGGCCCATAAAAACATTTTTAATAGCTGCATCGTATTATAAATATCTTAGGCTATTGTAAAGATCTGTCTTAGATTTATTGGCTTTTTAAATTGTGTTACAGTACCTTCTTTATATTTTAGATAAAGCTTCATGTATTTCAAAAAATACGTGCACATGGCTTAAAATCCAAAAGGAGGAAAAGAGTTTTCACAAAGTTTTTCTCTCATTCCTCACTCCCACCTGTGGTATGAAGCAACTGGTGTTACTAATTTGTTGTTTATTTTCAAGGCTGATTTTTCATAAACAAGCAAATTATACATGTGTATATACAATAAAAATAATATACTGTTATATATAAAAGTACATATAAGTACATAAAGCATAGACTAATAAAAGTATAAGAAAGGCATATATACTAGGATAATAAAATATAATAAAGGTGTATATTTAAATATATGATACTGTATATGAAACCTTATGTCCTGTAATATAGCTTGGTACCAAAAGGATCTTTTTTAACAACTCCTTTGTTTTTCCACAGAAAATATTATGTTTTGAAGATGACCATTATTAGCGCAATAACATATTCAGAAATCAATACTTTGATGATAAGCATTGTAAACATTTTATAACAACATATTTAGTGATGTTTATTGGGTGTATATCCTCCCATAAGGCTATGAAAATTATTGGGGCTCCCATTAGTGAACAAAGACTAGAATAAATTTTTCTGAGCAGCTCCTTCTTTATTCATTAGCAGAAGGCCAAACTTAAAACTTTATATTTAATTATCTTGACAATTTTTTATTTAACTTGTAAAGCCCAGTTTTAGAATTAACAATTTATTTGTATCTTTGATGTCATTTTGATCAAAAAAGATAATTGGACAAACACTTTCAAACAATTGGACAGACACAGACAAACATGTAAGACAATTTGTGAAACTGGAGTGCACTCAAATATATTTGGCCAGTTGAATTATAATATCTCTTTTGATGTCAAAACTTTTGCATATTTTTTTTAATTGAGTTTATTGTTACATTTTAGGGATACAGTACAGTTACATTCATTGTTGGAATCTTGTACCTCTACATGACAGGTCTTGGTTCTCATTTTTTCCCCTTGTAACTTTTGCATATTAATAGATCTCTTGCAATTAGAATCAGAAGGAGTAAGAATAATGTAATCTTGTGTTATAGTTATTGTCAAGAAGTCTGTAAGCAGAAAGTAATAGAGAGGTCAAGTTAATCCTATAATTACAATTTAAGAATTTCAATGTAAAAGAAATGTTTCAGTGAGTATGTACTGTTTTTTCCTCACGTAAGTGGTCATCTGCATCTTCCTTGGAGATGACTCATATCAGTACAGTATATTTAAAAAGTCACTATTATAAGGCTACATAGTATTCTGATACGTGATGTTCCATGACTTATTACCTCAATTGTAGATATTCGAGATAGACTACTTTTAAATTGAAATTGTGCTTATTGAAATTTGTTTCTTGTTTTAAATTACCTGTATACCCAATAATGAATATAATGGTACTGTACACCTAAAATGTACCAATAAACTCAATGAGGGGAAAAAAAAGAAAGAAAAAAGGAAAAAAAAAAAACCTTGCCATATGTTAAAGTAAATAAATAAATAAATAACCAACCTGTATATATCTTTGGTGGGCTCTCCACCCCTCCCAGGGAGTGCTGAGCTACAGATCTCAGCCATTTCATTTCTTCTTCTTTTATTTTATTTTTTTTCAATTTCAAAAGAGGTTTGCCAAGTTTCCCAGGCTGGCCTCAAACTTGCTATATCCTCCTGCTCCAGCGTCTTGATTACAGTAGTTGGGATTACAGATGTGTGGCACCATACCTGGGAAACTGTTGATCTTTAAGTTATATTTTTCCCCTACTCCCCATTTTTGAGACATTTTTGCCTGTTTTTTTTTTGTTTTGTTTTGGTATTAGAGATCAGACCCAGGGCATTCCTCTACTAAGCTACATCCCCATCCCATTTTATTTTATTTATTTTGAGACAAGGGCTAAGTTGCCCTAGCATACTTGAACTTAAAATCTTCCTGCCTCAACCTCCTTCAGTGCTGGGTTACCATTTTGTCTTACAGGACACCCAGGCACATTAAGTAAATGATGCACTCACTTACCTCGTGTTATTCTGAGGATAGTGAAGGGCAGGGGATTAAGCATGGGAAGTGGTACTTAAGGAACCTCAAGATTGATGGTCCCAGTAGTTAAAACATTTATTTAAGGTGTTGTATACAAGTACATGAGAAATGCCTAAGGCATAAAATAATGCTTAAGGGATTATAAAATGAACGTCTGTGTAACCTCCGTGCAGGGCAAGAAATAGAACCTTGCCAACCAACATCTGTGTTGTACTTCTAGGAGCAGCCTGGAAAGAGAAGAGTCAGGGTGTGTGGGAGGTGAGTGGGCAAGGAATTCGTGCATATTGGTTTAAAGAAATTTGGAGACTTTGATCCACTTTTAGCTGAACTTGATCTCTTTATACCAGGTGATGGAGCTATATCTTCACTGCTCACAGGACTCTGGAACCAGCTCTGAGCATCTTGTTCTTTGAAACACTAATTCTGAGGTATCTGTTTGGTATGACTTGGCCTGTCTTGCTTGAAGGTCTCTTTAGGTGCTCATTCTCTTCTTACTTATATTCCTGCAGGGCATTTCTGACCACGTTCATGCTTAAGCACCCCTGTGGACTGCAAAATAAAAGAAAACAAAACATTTCCAAAATCATGCTTTCTTCTTTTTGTCTCTTCTAATCTGTTAAAAACTATGGGGTTTTAATTTTAGACTTTACTTGTTCTTTTGATTTAGGCACCTGCAAAGCTTGAACAGAGTAAGGGCTTTCTTTTTCTGTGCGGAGTACTTTTCATTTGCTATAAACCAAATAAGAAAGTGGCTTGGTGATACAGATTGTGCCTGGGTTTTTTTTTAAGAAATAGAATATTCTATAGAAAACCTTAGAAGTACTTTCTAGTTCAATTCCATAGTTCAGTCACTTTTAAATTTGTGTGATCCTATTTATACAGTTCATAATGAACAGTGTAAAGTTACTGTGTACTGTGTATAGTTACTGCAGTGTACAGTAGTACCCCCTTTTCTGTGGGGCATATATTCTAAGACCCCCAGTGTATGCCTAAATCTGTGCATATTACTAAGCCCTATGTATGATACATTTTTCCCTATACATAAATACCTATTATAATAGGCTGATCTTTGACATATCTAAGTTACCAGCATAGCTATTCTTGTGCCTTGGGGCTGTTATTAAGTAGAAGGAAGGTTTCTTGAACACAAGTACTGTGGTACCACAGCAGTGGATCTGATAACAGAGATGGCAGTGGGTGATTAGTGTCTGTGGCTTGGCTGTACTGGACAGAGATGATTCTCATCCCCAGCAGAAGAGAAAGGTATGGCGTGAGATTTCATCAGGCAACTCAGAATGACGTGCAGGTTAAAACTAATGGCATTGTTTATTTCTGGAATTTTCCATTTAATATTTTCAGACTGTGGTTGACTGAGTAACTGAAACTGTAAAAATGTAAAATTTCAGATAAACTACTGCAGTCCATTCTATTTTAATTTCATTAAAAAGAAATATTGATTGGGGACCCATTATACTTATTGCAGGGTCGTTCAGTTCACTGCCTGCAGTTGAAAAGGTACCATGGTTTTCTGGAGTAAGAGCTTAGCTCCATGTAATTAAACAGAGCAGAGACAAACTGTCATGGTGTGAAGAGTGAGGACTTGGAGAAGGAAAAGTTTGGGCTCAGGTCCTATCTCTGTCACTTCCTGGGTCTCAGCCTTCTGTAAAATGGGGATGACACTCATTCCCTTGAGGTTATGAGATTTAAATGACAGAATGGATGGTGTAAAGTAAGTGTTCAATATGCTGCAGCTGTTAGTAGCCATTTTACTTATTTCAGGATTTAATGGATCTTCTCTTACTTTTAGCTGGGTGCTCTTTGTACAGATTGCAGAATCTGCTATGATAGGAGTTATGAGGCAGTGTTAAGTAACAGACCAGGTAGATGAGAACTGCTTAGTTGACTGGCTTACCCTTTGGGGTCAGTTGAGGTGACGGCTGGGATCTGTGCCCACAAACTGCTGGTTTATTACAGCAGTGTCTAGCAGTTAGACAGCCTTTAGTGACAGGAGCAGGTCTTCCTTGCCCTGTTCATGGGCTGGAGGTTAAAGCTGATCGTGTGTGCGTGTGCGTGTGTGTGTGTGTGTGTGTGTGCGTGCGCGCGCACAAGCGTATAAGATCAGCTCAGGGGAAGGCCAGAGGACATAGGTAATTTTCCTGCTTAAGTCATCTCTCCGCACTCTCCCATATTTCACATTTAAAATCTTCTCTCTTCCTTCTACAGTATTTTTCTTTCCTTCTCCCCTTCCTCTTTCCCTTTTAAGGAATGACTAGCTTTTATATTTTAGGTAATCTGTTCATAAAAGGAATTGAAACAAATTTGAGCATTAAAATATAAACATTTGACACAAACTTTAATATATTGTCCTATCATAAAATAATTTCATTTATTAACATCTGGTGTTTTTTCATGCATTTAAAAATAAGTAACTGTAGTACTGTACTATATTCAAGCACTTTTATAATGAAAAATCACCCCCTGAACTAGTTAGATAGTTGTAGATCCTAAAGAAAGAAGGAAAAAGGAACCCCTTTTTGAAAGAGAGAGGCATTGATGTCTTCCTTTCTGTGAAACTGAAGGCTGGCCCTCTGTTTATTCTCTCCTCTTAGGCATTCAGGAACAAGGAGGAGTACTTTCTGCTGTTTTTACTTTATTTGGCTTGCTCTCCTGGTGTCAAAGGACAGGTGGTTAATGGGTTTTCTGCAGCTCTAATTTATGTATCAGTAGATTGCTGGTAAAGATGCTTTTTTTTTTTTTTTTTTTTTTTTTTTTTTTTTTTTTTTTTGGTACTGGGGATTTGACTTAGGACCTTGTGCTTGCCAGGCAGGCATGGTACCACTGAGCTAAGTCCCAGGCTCAAAGATGCTATTTATGGAATGGAAAATCAGAATGGTTTCTCACAGTTCTTCTCATAATACTGGTCAGTGCTTTCTCACTGCTGTAGTTTCATCCAGTTCCAGAGGAAAACCAAGGAGTAATGCTGGAAGTAACCCAACCTTTACCGTAGTATCTGGATCAGATGTGTCCTAACACAGGGCCACGTGTTTTCTCTTTCTCCACAGATTTTGAAGCCAGCTTCATAAGGCTACTGGACAAAATAACTAATGGTTCTCAAATTGAGATAAATCAAACAGGTGAGTTCCTTTTCTGTCCAATCTGAAAGCACCTGTGCATACTATTTAAGTGTTCCTTTGTTTCCCTTTTTTAATGGTATAAATATTATAGTATGTTCAAAACTTTACCAAACACTTTGTGTTATAAAACCCATCATTCAACTGGAATGTTTTGAGGGTGTACCCTTCAGAATTACAGAAGGGAGCTATGAGTGGGGATTATAATATTCTGAGTTATCAAAATACTATATTTAGTTGGAGAGGCTCAGTTTCCTGTCTGTGATGTGAATGACCAAAGATACACATGAAATCTCCCAATTTAGGGAGCGTACATGTGACTTAAGATAGAAAACTGACAACTTTACATCAACAAACAAGCACTTTTTTTTTTTGGAGACAAGGTCTCACTATGTAGTTGAGACTGACCTCGAACTCACTATGTAACCCAGGCTGGTCTCGAACTCACAGCGATCCTCCTACCTCAGCCTCCCAAGTGCTGGGATTACAGGCATACGCCACCACACCTGGTTCAAGCACTTCTTTTTTAATAATAAAAATATTTTATGCTTAACATTTATATCCCATTAAATTTCTTACAATGAACTCTGAAATAGTTCAGTTTTGTCTCTTAAAATAAGTTTACACGCGTATATACAAAATGTTAAAATCCCATTACCTTTTTCTTCTTCTATTCCGTTCTCTAGAGATTGTTGCTATCACAGTATTTGCTTATACAATCTTTATGTAACTCAGCATCAACAGGGTCATTCATGCTTTTTACACTATTCTGCAGCTAGCACTTTTTTCACTAGCATAAATATTTAAGAGCTGTCTGTGGCAGTATGTGCAGGCGTACCCCCGTATTTCTGTGGGCTGTAGTATAGTTTCCATTGTATGGATGGGTGGTAAGTTCTTTAGCTGCTCCCTATAGGTAACTTTTAGGTTGTTTCTAGCTTTTTCTTTCTGCTGTTAAGATCTTTACATTGTTTAGGATACCATGGGAAACATCTTTCAGTTGACTCTGAACTCTACACCTTTGCACATACCTTTAATATACATGGGTTCTAAAGACGAGCTTGGATTTGTTTGTGGCTCTGGGCTACTTGAGATGTGCTGATTTGTAGCTATAGTGAGCCATGACTGGTGGAGAACAGGTTTCAGGCATGAGCTGTTCAGGTGCCCTATGCCAGATAGAATTCCCTGTCTTCTTTGCCTTGTTTACTTTGAAATTGTTGGGTTTTTTTTTTTTTTAAGCAACTTTTATTGGTGATTCAGAAGGTAGATGATTTTATCCTGTAATCATATCTGCAGGGTAGGTTAAAGAGTAAGACATTTATTTGATCTTGCTCACACCCTATGTCCTTTTAACCCCCTTCTTCTCACAATAGAAGCCATGATTCTGATCTGGTCAGTTTCTTATGAACAGATGGAATTGAAAAATTGTGTGGCTATATAGCTTTTGTTGACTTCTTGATCTAAAAGATGGTATTGTGACTTTTAATACTATTCAAGATAAATGACCGGAAGCCATGTCTTTGATCAGAATATGTTCTGATTCTGATTTCTTAAATTTTCTGTGTAGTAAAACTTAAATTTATTTTATGAAATGCCTAAGAACTGTTTCCCATTTGAGTGACTGAGTATGTTTCTTTCCTCTAGTATTAAATTTATTTTGGTACACTGCACCAGAAGACATTACAGAAGCTTTTGTGTATCAAAATACTGTTTGCCCATTTACCACCCCTGCCCCCACAATCTGTAGTGTTTTCCTTTGTTTTTTCCATAATAAATAAATCTAGTAAACTTTTAGATGCTATGAATAGTGAAAAGGTGAATAATGATAATAGTGTCCACTAAAGCCGTAATTTTAGATGTTTCTATTAATATTAATTGTACTAATTAACAATTTTTCATTTAATATTAAAATGGCCATCACTAATGGCATCAGATGTTACAAAATACATGCTTTTCCTAGGTATCTCCTTTGGTAAGTAAAATGTCTGAGAAATCTCATGTCAGGGGGATGCTGGCTGTAGCCTTCATGATGTAAGACCATCGTTTGTGATCCTACAACCAGCGCAGTCTGAGAATGTGCTGCTGGGAGGCCATGGTGCCTGTTAGGAGCCCCCCCACTGTGCTGCCAAGTTTGGCAGCTGAGATGGCTTAGGGAGGGGTTAAATTTATCACTGTTTATTAAGTTACATTCACAGCTTATTATTGTTACAGAGACTTGACAGTGGTGAGTCAGCTTTTGGAGTGAAATGTGGGCTGTCAAGGATGGCATTTTGAACTCCCTTGGATGCCCTTGTCAGATTTCCCCTTGGGACTCACTGACTTTGTTGCCTTGTAACACTTGGTTTTGTTCCTGCTGCATCTGGTTGTTTTTTCTTTGATTTAAGGGACGACCTTATATTATCAGCCTGGCCTCCTGTTTGGTGGATCAGTGGAACATGACTGTAGTGTCCTTCGCGGCATTGGCTATTACCTGGAGGGTCTCCTTTGCCTTGCTCCATTTATGAAGCACCCCATAAAAATAGTTCTCCGAGGAGTGACAAATGACCAAGTTGACCCTTCGGTGAGTATTGAGGTCAAACTGTGGCCTTCTATCTTGTAACAGCTCAACTTGTGAGAAAAAAAAACTGTATTCTAAACCCAGTTTTATTCTCAAGCGTTTGTTCACTCGTTTACCTCGAGACTTAGAGGTTAATTCACTCCAGAAGAAGATGAGCCAAGACTTGCAATCATCAAATTTAGAATGACTGCTACTGTTCCGCAAGGTGCCTTTCATTGGTACATGTAGGAACTTTCAAAGCAGATGCTTGCTCTCCATTGTGTTTGATATGAGCTACAGCTCTTGGCTGAAGTGTGTGAGTGGAGTTTTTGTGAAGTTACGTGAGAGCTGAGGCGAGAGGGCAGCTGATCAAAGTTTTAGGCAGGAAATAGAATCCCTTGGCATTACCACAGCATAATCTTGACTTATCTAAGTTTCAGTTGTAAACCCAAGGACTGTTTTCATCTGAAAAGACTTTGCAGATTAAAAAAAAAAAAAAAAAAGCATGAAGACAGAATGAATGTGTTAAGGATTGAGAGTTTGTGAGTGCTAGCAAGCTTCTCATTAAATATGCTAATTTTCCTGCATATATAAAGAGAATGGTTTACTACCCAACTAACATTTTCACTTTGGTCACCGCAGCTGTCTTAGTGCCAGTCTTAGACATGTCATAGGAAGGGAAGGAGTCCTCAGGTTTGAATGCTTCACTGTCCAGAGAAAATATCTTAAAGCCAGTGGCTAAGAAATTCTGACTGAGGAGGCACCCTTGTATTTACTGCTACTGACCTAGGCCGCAGCCAAAAAATGGGCAGCTTCTGAGATAGCTATGAAGTGTGCGGCTTTCCTAACGGGGAGTGACCAGTTAATTGTGCAGTGAGCTGCTAGTAAACACCAAGATACTTACTAGGGTATAGACATGGTTAATGTGTTCTTAGGTAGAAGACTTTTGTTCTTCAGTTTTTGTTTTTTTTTGAGCCAAGGTTTCACTATGAATTTACTGTGTGGCCCAGATTGGCCTTGAACTCCTGCAATCCTCCTGTCTCAGCCTCCCGAATTCTGGGATTACAGTTTTGCACTTCCATGCCCAGCTTGTTCTTGTTTTTCTTTTTTGTTGTTGTTGTTTGTTTTGTTTTTTTGAGACAGGATCTCACTATGTAGTTGAGACTGACCTGAAACTCACTGTGCAGCTCAGGCTGGTCTCGAACTCGCAGTGATCCTCCTGCCTTGGCCTCCGGAGTGCTGGGATTACAGGTATGCTCTATCATGCCCAGCTCTCATCTCTTTTTTCTATTATCTATGTTTTATGTTGCTTTTCATTAGGTTTCTCATATAAGATAAACCATGCAATGTTGAAGCTTGTGTGTCTGATTTATTTCATTTAATATTGTGGTTTCAAGCTGCATCTATTTTCCTACTCATTTATTCTTCTTTAAGGCAGAGAAGTGCTCCATTGTATATAAATACCACATTTTCTTTATCCATGGACATATAGGCTGCTTCCAAGATTTCCTGTTACAAATTGTGCTGTGGTAAACATGGGTATGCATATATCACTGTAATATGATGACTTTAATTCTTTGTGGAAAATTTCTAGGAGGAGAGTAGCTGGGGCAAATGGAATTTCTATTTTTGTTTTTGAGGAGTCTCCATACTGACTTCCATAGTGGTTTTACTAATTTGCCTTCTCACCAGTAATGTAGAAGGGTCCCCCTACCTCCAAATTCACCAGCATTTGTTTTTTGATTTCCTGATGATAGGTCTTCTTCCTGGAGTAAGATGGAATCTCAGTGTTGTTTTAATGTACATTTCTCTAATGGCCAGAGAAATGAATATATCGGTCATTTGTATTCTGCTCATTTCAGTTGCCCATTTTTTTGATAGGGTCTTTTATTGGGGGTGGGTCTGATTTTTTTTTTAATTCTTTATATATTCTAGCTATTAGTCCTCTGTCTGAGGAATAGCTGGCAAAAATTTCTTCCCATTCTGAAGGTTGTCCCTTCACTCTGATTGTTTACACTCTTTGCTGTGCAGAAGCTTTTTAACTTGATATGATCCTGTTTGTTTATTCTTGATGTCATTTCTTGGGCAGTTGGAGTTCTATTCAGAAAATCCTTGCTAAGGCCTATGTCAAGAGTTTTACTATTTCATCTTCTAGAGGCGTCTACACTTTCAGATACAAATAATGGGACAAGGTCCTGCAGTACACTTGGGACTATTGTGGTGCACCTCCATTGTACTCTTTTTCTATAATTGCTAATAATTTTAGAAGCTATTCTCAATCATTATTCAGCAAGTTTTTAAAATAGTTTTATATATTAATAGTAACAAAAGATCTGTGGGTAAATTCTCCGGAAATAGTATTTGTTTAGTGCGCAGTATTAAAAATAAGTCTGTTTTCATATGCTATCAGACTGTCTACTTTGTCAGCTGCGTGACTAGAATGATGATGGTTGGCATGGGGCTCTGGTCCCGGTTAAGATAAACAGACCTAATGCAGGACAAGCCGTGACTTTAATCTGTGGTGTCTTCATTTCGAGCATCCTCTTGCATGTGGTTTACCCACCAGGTCATGCCTGAATGTACTCGTGCATAGGAGGATGAACACCTTGAGTGCTTCTGCCCTCGGGGAGCTCTCATTCCGCTGGGGTGGGTAGCTCGAAACATAGCCAGGCAGACATCAGGCTGTTTGCCTCTGGGCCCTGGTAGGCAAAAAGAGAAGTGCTGGGCATTGGTGCCTGAGACTATTTTGTTTTGCTGTAATAGAATTCCTGACCCTGGGTAATTTATAAAAAAACAGATTTTTTTACTTACAGTTCTAGCGGCTGACAAGTCCAAGAGTATAGTGCCAGCATCTTTGTGCTGAATTTAGAGGGCATCACATGTCAAGGCAGTGAGAAACTTGGGGGAGCCCATCCTTTTACTGGAAGCCCAACCCCAAGATAACTAACCCACTTCCGTGATAATACCCTTAATCTGTTCCTGAGAGTGGTGTCCTCATGCCTCAATCACCGCTTAAAGGTTTGGCTGACAGCTGTTAACAGTGACGGTTACATTTCAACATGAGTTTTTGAGGGGACATCAAACAATAGTAGTTGGGTCGTGTTTCTAGAAGAAGGGAAACAACCAGAGTCAGTATGGGCTTTAGGCTAATTCTGGAGGTCAGGTGACCAATTAGTTGGAAGGGCGATAGATTAGTTTAGATGTTGTGGAGCTGGACATGCAAAGTACAAGGCTAATATGAAGGACAAATATGGCAAGAGAGGCTTTGTAACTTGACATCTACTTGAAGGTAGTCTGGGAGGAATGGGCTGTAAATTACTGTTTTTGTTCTGGCTGACTTTAAGAATAATATACAGAAAGAGTTTGACACAATGAAGGAGAAAATCAGGGTAGCATAATGATTTGATTTTGGCCTTATCCCCTGGGCCATGGCATTATAACCACATGGGGACATCCACTTGGCAGTCGGCAAGTATTGTCTGTAGCCTCAGAGACAGGCCATCAGGATCTGTTTAAGGCCTTACAGGGCCAGGCATAATGTTGCACACCAGTAATCCCAGCCCTCAGGAGTCTGAGGCAGGAGGATCACTGTGAGTTTGAGGATAGCCTGGGTTACATTGAGTTCAAGGGCAGCCTGAGCTACATAGCAAGATTCTGTCTCAAAAAAAAGAGAAGGAGGGGGAAAAAAAAAGAAGGAAGGAAATAAGAAAACAAATAAACCTAATAAGCCTTGCAGGTTTGAGATTGACTTGGTGCTGAAATTGAACCTGCACAGCAGTTGGTCCTACAGGTGTCTTTCCTCTGACCTGTATGGTGTGGAGTGGTGGTGGTTGGTGATGTTTAGGTGTATGAATTGGTTGTTCATATGAAAGCCCCAGAGTTTGCATTGTAGTACTGCTGTGTGGCAGCACTGGACGGCTGTTCTCCAGGATTGCATCAACTGGAGCTGTGTAGCAGCTGCCCAGTTTGTTAAGGCATGAGCTCTCCAGCCACGTGCAAGTTTCACCTAACCTGTTCATTTACATTTTCTTTCTGGCCTCTATGAGCTTTAGAGTTTTTGCCCCAATGGACTGAGAGTAGAAGGGGAAATGAGCGTGTGAGGTGTAAGAGGAAGAAAACAAGGAAAAAACAGAAGTATTTGGAGAAACCAAACAGCAATCAAGTTCTGAGTGGCTGGGGATGATTCAAAGAGTCTTTGTTTGCAGGATTTAAGTTAATTTGGATAGTGAGATGTGGCAGTGAGAGGTTTTGCTGAGGTCGGAGACAGCAGTGTGACTGGAGTGCAGTGGCAGGTACAGGCTGTGAAAAGAGTAGGAGTTAGAGCCACAGAAAGCTAAAAGAACCTTCCAGAAGCTTAGGTACAATGGTTTCTTAAAAACTGAGCTTGGCAGTGTGTTTTAGACTAGTTAGCCTGTAACCTAAGAAGCTGTCAAGGAGAAGGAAAGATTAAAATAAAAGGATAGAGTACTCGATAAGCCTCACTGCCACAGAAGTTCAGAGGGAATAGAGTAGCAGAAGTGGTGGGATGGGCCTTATAAAGGGTTAGGGACTCTTTTTCTTTTTCTCCTAGAGGCAAGAGGACAGAAAATGGGAAGGAATTTGGAGAAGAAAAGTTCCAGGAGGCTTCTGAATCTCAATTTGTGGAATCAGAGTCTCCAGTAAATATTGACTGGTGCTGGAAGGTTGGTCAGGTGGTGGGCGAAGGGTGAATAATTCTGTTCTTTCATTTCCATCTTAGGAAGGGAAAAGAAATGCGGTATGTAGTGTGCTGAACATTGTTCTAGGAGCACAGTGTGTACATATGTGTGATCCATATTTATCTTCTCCCAGCTGTTTTATATTCCGTATTTATCTTGTCACAGCTTAGAGGAGGTAAGTTGAGGGTGGATTTCTTCCTTCTTTCATGAGGTGTGGATCTTTTCATATTTCTGCCTGTTCACTGATTACTCAGTAAGAGTATTTGCCTTTGCCCTGAGCTACCACGTGGGTGAGATCTTTGCCTTCGCTCTCTGTGGAGTGGCAGCTCAGGTTCCCTGAGGCACGACTTGCAGCTCACCCTTACTCTGCTAAAGCCAAAGTTTGCAGAGCCAGAGAAGGCAGTAGAGTGTTTGGCTCAGCCTCTCATCTCATACAGGAGGAAACTGAGGCCCTGGCGAGATAAGGTGAGCGGGGCCTTACAGCTGGTTAAGAGGCAGAGTGAAGGTCAAATCCTCATCTGCTCTTACAGCATTTGCCCACTGCTCTGCGTCTGCCAGATGGAGTGATTAGGTGATGGTGTGACACTTGGACTTTTGGCTGATTCAGGTTAAATTTGACTTTGTCATCTGTGACTCAGGGAATGAGTACAATGTGCCAAAAGGGATGCTCTACTTTTTCACCTTTCTTTTTCCCAGGAGAACTGACAGCTGCTTAGTTCTAAGGTAACCTACATCCTGTTGCCTAATGTCATCATAGCTGTTACAAACTTGCAGCCATTCCAGTGTGATAGTATGATGCATTCCTTGTGTTCGTTGTATAAAACTGTAGCACAATTATGTATAGTACATAATAATAAATGACTTACTACACTGTATTGTATGCTCACACACTTGTGTGTGTGCATATGTTCACTCTTTGTTGGGGATTAAATTTAGGTTGCGCCCCAGCCATGCTATACTATTGTTATTTTAAAGTATACACCTTCTACTTATTTAAAAAAAATTAATGCTAAAACAGCATTAGTTAGGTCCCTCAGGATTCCAGAAGAAGGCATTATTATCATGGGAGGTGACTGCTCTATGCCTGTTTGTACCCTCGGAGACCTTTTAGGGGACATGGTGTGGGTAACACTGATTATTCTGATCCTGTTTAGGACTAAGCTAATGTGTGTGTGTGTGTTTGCTCCTCCCCACTGGAACTGGGATTCGAACTCAGGACTTTGTGCTTAAGAGGCAAGTGCAGTGCCACTGAGCTACGTCCCTGGCCCTTTGTCTTCATTTTTAATGAGAAAGTTTAAAAGTAAAAAATAAAAATAAAATTAAAAGTAGACTAAATCATATAGCCTAGGTATGTAATAGGTGGTGTCTAGGTTTACATAAGGACACTCAGCTGGGTGCAGTAATGCATGTTTATAATGCCAGCCGAGTAGGAGGCTAAGGCAGGAGGATTGCGGGTTCCATAGCGAAACCGTCTCCAAAAAAAAAAGTATATAAAGATACTGTGATGTTCCCACAGGAATGAAATCATGCAATGATAGATTTCTCACAAAGCATCCCCACTGTTAAATGATATATGACTCTATTAAGTATTTGGGTATGTTTAGTTTTAATATTTGGTTGAAATTAGCTAATCTTTAATAGCTTTTCCTTGTCAGTGCCCCTGCCACACCTGATCTATTGTGAACATCTTCGAGGTTTTATAGGTCACTTTTCCTTGTTAATTTTTTGATCTTAAGACTATTTAGTTGGGGCCTGTCTTCTGCTATAGCACTATATTAGAGTATTGTTCTATTAAGCCAGCCTGTTAAGAGTTGTTGACAGCTTGGAGACAACCAGGCTTGAGGCCCTTCTATTAAATTAAAAGAAGTTGTAACTTTCTTGTTTGAGGCCTTACAGATAATTAGAAGCAGAGCCTGGTCCAGAACTAGGGGTTTTTCCTGTGTTCCCTGCTCATGCCGCTGGCCCTCATTGCCCTCGATAGGGTCAGCCTCACCAGGGGCAAGAGGGGAATGTCTTATTCCACTGGAAATAAGTGAAAGACTAATTTTCTTTTGCATATTGCACCATTCACTGACTGTTAGATGTACATGATTTGAATGTCATCCTTATATTCTATGAGAAATCCATACATATGAAAGACGTAGGAGCGCTGAACAGGGAAGAGATGATAGCAGTCCTTGGAGTTCTTGCCATTTGCTGTGAATGCTGTTGTAATTTCAGCTGGGGGCTCGTGCTGCTTCCTGTAGTTTGAGATTGTCATTCCTTCACCATAGTGTAGTCCATGTGGAGATTCTTAGGTTAGCACTGAATAATAACTTGTTTTGCTTGGAGTCAGGGCCACTAGCTCAAACATTAAAAAAAAACAACATGTTAAAACAGGCTGATACTTTCTTCCATAGTGCATATACCTACAAAAAGGAGCAGAGGTCAGTTTGTTTTTCTGAGCTCAGCATTCTGTCCATCCTTTTTGCATGATGCTCCTGGTAACTTCAAGCTAAGTGTACATCTCCATGTCATCCGTGAGGAAAGCAAGACTCAGAGAAGCCTAGTGGCTGTAAAATTTCAGACTTCCTCAGGTGCAGAGCAGTTGAAAGCCAGAATTCTTTTTCTTTACCCAACTGAATTATCTACCTCCTGGTCGCTAAGCCTTATCTGCTTCTTGGACTTTTTCTTTTTATCTGCCCAAGACTTAATTATACTTTTTTTCCCTGAAATAATTTATAGGTTGATGTTCTTAAGGCAACAGCACTTCCTCTACTGAAACAGTTTGGGATTGATGGTGAATCCTTTGAGCTAAAGGTAAGAATATGAATTGCTGGCTGTATATACCTATATAAAACATTTTCTCACCAGCTCATTAGAAGAGCTCTGTGATTCAGTGTATGAGTGTTTGTGTATCACATTTGAAGTCACCATTTGTCAGAGATCCCCAGGGCTCAGGAACCAAACACTCTGGACTTTGTTTTATTGTTTTGTGGTTTTTTTTTTTTTTTTTTTTTTTTTTTTTGAGGCAGGGTCTCCCTATGTAGTTGAGGCTGGCCTTGAACTCACTATGTAGCCCAGGCCGGCCTTGAACGCACATCGATCCTTTAGCCTCAGCCTCTCAATTGCTGGGTACAGGCATGTGCCACCACACCCAGCTCAACATTATGGACCACACCTTACTTTGTGGTAGATGCCTTGTTGTAAACCTTTTATACATATCCACTCTTATCTCTCGCAGTAGTTCTGTCCAATGTCAGCTAGCTAAGAGATAGAGCAGCAAGGATTCTGGACCTGCTTCTCTAAACAATCTAAATATAATTTGTGTCCAGGAGCCCCCAACCTATATGTCCTTGAGAATTTTCAGTAGAAGTGATTTAAGCATGTGTTCGTTATTGAAAAGAAATATATCAATCCAGTATGGTGACACTTTGGAGCATTTTTTTTAAATGACTTTTTTAAGTGGGGGGGATAACTTTTTTGGGCAGGGTTATGTAGAGTTTTGATACATCAGTTGTTTGTATGGGAGGAGATAAAGGTAGTTGTGGTGGTTAAGAAATGGGATCTGCTGTTGAAATAGGATCTGATGATGAACTGGGATGCAAAAATAGGTCCTGGTGGTGACATGACCTGCTCAGGGGTATGCAGATGAGAGTCAAAGCCACTGTGATTTGGCTGTGCTGCTGAGCTGTGTCCTCTTGTAGCTAACATGAGGTGCTGTTGCAGTGGAAGAGCTGTGTGTCTTGTGAGGAAGAGCCCATGGGTAGAACCTTTCTGGGATGAGTGCCAGGGAAATCCTGCTTTGTTGCTTCTGGTTTCATCTCCCTACTCCCCAAATTGTTTTGTGCAGATTGTGCGACGAGGAATGCCTCCAGGAGGAGGAGGTGAAGTGTTTTTCTCGTGTCCTGTCAGGAAGGTTCTGAAGCCCATTCAGCTCACAGACCCAGGAAAAATCAAACGTATCAGAGGCATGGCGTATCCTTTGCATTGGGTTTTGATTTCTTATTTATTTTCTTTCCCTGTAAGAATGACTAACAGCTTTACTTCTTCCTGAGGTTGTTTATGTTTTTGAAGACCCTCTTGGGAAAATTTTAGCAGTGAAGTATTATTAGTTGAGATATGTTTTATTTGCTTCACCATGATTAGATTGATTTGTACACATACACATGCACACACGCACACCCCAGTTAATACTTAAGCAGATGGCTCCTGTGTATGAGATACTCTCCCTAGTGCTTTGGTTTGGAGGCTTTGAATGTACTGTAGTTCCTTCCTCCCTTCCTCAGAAGAGCCCATTATCTGACAAAGGAAACAAACTTTGCAAACACATAGTCCTGAAATAAAATATAAAGCAATACGGGAGCATGTGCTGGGTGAGTGGAGAGTAGTGGGTGGCCAATTTTATGTGGAGGATTTAGAAGGGCTGAGATAATAATTAGCACCATCTAATATTTAATTCTTACTCTGTGTACTTTAATAATCACTTCATAAATTTACTTACATTCCATCTTATAGGTGGGGAAATTGAGGCTTGCGAAGCTTTGGGAATTTAATAATGTCATCTGACAGTAATGGCAGAGCTGGGTTTTAAACCCTGTCAGTCTGACTCTGGAGCCCAGGCTTTTAGCCTCTGCTTTTTTCTGTAGAAAGGAGAGGACATTGAATGGAGCTAGTGAAGCACAGCAGGAAAAGAAGGCTGCTTCGGGCAGAGCAGCGCTTCTGTGGAGATGTAACTTTGCTCTGTGGCCCTGAGTGCATGTGGCATTTGATAGAGAAAATGAGGCATGAAGACAGGCAGGAGCCAGAGGAGCTGAAGGTCATGCTAAGGAGTTGGCATTTATTCCAGAGTCAGTCATTTTCACCTGGAGACTGAATTTGTATGTTAGGGGACACCTTTAGAGGCAGTGTAAAAACTTCCAGCTTAGGTACAGATTTTGCAGAGTGTGAGTTCAAAATCATCACCTAATGGTAGCCACTTATTGTGCCCAAGAGGGAGACCTGAGAGTAGTGGCCTGAGAACAGGTGAGAGCTGCTAGTATGATAGGTTCTAGAGGCAGAATGGATGGGCCGGGGTTCACCTGGTCTGTGAAAGGAGTGGGGAGTCACTGAGGGTGATTTTGATGTTTCTTGCTGAGGACCTGGGTAGAGAGAGATGTTTGCTCTGACAGGAGCTGTGAAAGTTTGGAGTAGGGTGGGAGAGAGGTGAAGATAGGATCAGTTTCTTTGTTTTGTTTTTTGAGACAGGGTCTCACTATGTAGTTGAGACTGACCTGGAACTCACTATGTAGCCCAGGCTGGTCTCGAACTCACAGCGATCCTCCTGCCTCAGCCTCCCGCGTGCTGGGATTACAGGCACTTGCCACCACACCCGGCTAGGATCAATTTTATACATGCCAATTTGAGGGTCCTTTATTATGGCTACAGGGTGATAAATTTAGAAAGGAACTTAGAAATATAGATCTGTCACTCAGGATCAAGGTGAGGCTAGAAATAAATGATTTGTAGTCAGCTACCATGTAGAATATAAAGGGAGGAATGTGGAACCTCAAGACTACCAAGACTTGAAAGCAAAAGCAAAAACTAATGAGGAGAATGAGGAAAACACAGCCCCTTGGACCCAAGGCCAGCACCTTCCAGAGCCCCAGAGTCCTTACTAGATAGGTGTGTTGCGTAGCAGAACAGCAAACTCTGCTCAGGGAATTCTGTTTTAGTATTTCAAATAGTGAAAGCGTATTGAAGATACTGAAATTGTAGGTGCTGACAAGAGACCTCAGGGGACAGGCATTAGAGGCCAAAGAGTGACTTTGCTGGTGGGTGCATGGCCAGGGAAGGGGGTAGACTAAAACGTGTGCTTCTCCTGGGTGGGGTGGGTGCTGAAACTCAAATTTTGCATTTCTCAGGAGGTTGGGATATGGTCTTATGCATAGGAAAATAAGTGTGGCAAGGACTGACTTCCAGAGGCTTTAAGCTTAAGCAGAAGGTATTGAAGGATGTGCAGTAGAGTAGGGGCCGCACAGCTGTGAGGTGGAGGTGGTGGTGGTTTAGATGAGAGATCAAACTTGGGGTGCTGCCTGAAGTTCTCGGTAAGAATCATCAGATGCAGATTTTAGGACAAAACACCCTTGGATGTGGACCGGCCCATTTTCTACATGGCTGTCCTGGGGCCCAGTAAGAGCCACGCCTTGTATGTGTGAGGAGAACATGGGCAGGTTGAGGAGAATGGTTCCTATCCTGGGAACCTCACCTTGATGCATTAAACCAGGTGACTTCTCAAAGTGATGTTCTACTTAATATTCTTCGATATGGAGCACCTGGAGCAAAGTTATGGAGGAGATTATAAAGACATGGAAATACAGTGTTTTTAAAAACCAAATGTCTTCTACTGATCTGTGCAGTCACTTACAGATCAGTCTCTAGTAGGTACATTGTATTCTACTATCTAGAGAACTAAAAAGTCAAAAGCTGCTCATTGCATTTGAATTGTTTTTCATATATAAAACCCTATATGCTTTGATGGTCATTTTAGGGTTTTTTGCAATTTTTTTTTCCCTGAGATAGGGTCTTACTGTATTATTCAGTCTAGTCTTGGACTCACTGTGGAACCCAGGCTGGCCTGAAACTAAGGGGGATCCTCCTGCCTCAGCCTCTGAAGTGTTGGGATTACAGGTGTGTACCACCACACCCAGCCATTTCAGGTTTTTGTTGTCCTCATTTAAGATGTTTCCTTTTTGCTCTGTTGTGGCAGTGAACTCTACTTGGGATCCAGTCGCTGTAGTTTAGAAATGTAATTTCCATTATGCTGTGTTTTTTGTTATTGTTTTTGGTACTGGGGATCGAACTCGGGACCTTGTGCTTGGAAGGAAGGTGGCAGAACCACTGAGCTAAATCCCTGGCCCCTTGTAGTATGCTGTTTTGACACAGTTGGGTTGTAATGACACAGGTTGCATGAAGCCCATCATTCTGGGGCCCCCTGTGCTCTCTGTACTGTGTCTGCAGAAACCTCTTGAGCAGTCCTTTGATAATGGTGCTGGGACAGGGTTTTTGGAGGAGAATGTCAAAGAAAACTACAAGAGCTCTGGTGTCCAGCCCCATGGGGACAGCTTTGTTCCTGCCCATCTTCTCTTGCTAGTGTTCTTTGAAACTTCCCTGTATTGTGTCTGAGCTGGGAAGGCACATGAGAGGTCCCATCTGCTTCTACTCTTTGAGACAGATGTGGACCCCAGACCATCCTGGTGCCTCCTCTCTGAGTAGCAGAGGCTTTTTCTCAACTCCGCAGAGAGGTGAACATTGCTCACATTTCTGTCTCTAGACCAAATGTTCCCGCTGCTGGTCAGCAGAGCTGCCCATTTAATAAACAGCCAAAGGAATGTGGGTTTGAGTGATCACCTTCTTTGCCAGTTTTGGAGCCTGGGGGAAAATAAGAGCTGTTTTTGGAAAAAAACTTCAGTTTTGTGGTTTTTCACTTGTGAGACTGGTTGACTTTAAACTGATGTTGATGGGTTGTTTTTCCCATAGGAGGGCTTGAGCCGGGAGAACTGTTTTAACTGAGCTACCCCCACCCCCCGCCCCACTTCGTCTTCCCCCTGGCATTCTGCAGGATGGTGACTGACTGGCCAGGGCCTGGGAGCGAGCTGATGTTGATTTCTGCCAGCAGCTGTGACTAGACAGTGAGTTAGTTACCTTTTATTGAATACCACCCACTGTGGTTCTCCTTGCTGCCTGATGTGGGGTGAGAGAGAGAAAGGAACAGTGTTTTATTTTATGGTCCTGTTCCAGAGCTTATGATTTGGTATGTAAGGGTTAGGAGAAGAAGCTGGGATAGAAGTAGATGGAGAGGGTGAGTTGGGCTTTTTCTTTACTTGACTGTAGGGAAAGTACTTTGAGAATATCTACCTGTCTCTCTCTTTCACCTCTCTCTCCTTCCTCCTCCCTCCCTGCCTTCCTTCTCCCTCTCTCTCCTGGGTTTGTTTTAATCTCTGGAGGGGTGAGAGGAAATTGTTTTTTGGAAGTCAGTTCAGTTTAATTTTGAGGAAGAATCTTAGTTTTGAGCTAGAAACTGTGGTCCTTGCCCCAAGGTGGCTGTGAGCATAAAAGAGATAGATAACGTGTAAGACAGAACTTTGGGAGCGCTGAGTGCAAGGGGATTGTGTTAGGATAGTGACATCTCTTGATCTCACGGGGCGGCGGGTGGTGGACTCAGGCCTCAGAAGAACAGCAACCACTGGGTCCAAAGGGTATGAGACTTGGGACTATTTGTTTAAAATATCTGTGGTCAAAAGTACGTTCTGGACAGAAGAGGTGATGATGTAACTGGGCTCTGTGTGTGTATTGAAAAACTCTTCTTTGCTCTTTCCTCATTTCAGATTTGTCCTTTGAGTCAAGTTAAATATTTGTAAGTCTCTGAGTACAAAAGTGGTGTATTATACAGTTGTAAGGGGGACAGTACTAAAGCCCTGCTTTTGTGAGTTTGTGGTCTCTTCAGAGAGTAAGAGCAAGATGAGTACATGTGAAGGCAGCTACTCTGTGCTAAGTTCACGTGGAGATCGTAATAGTTGCATGGCGGCTGGAGGCCTTCAGGTGAGACGGGGGGTGGGGGCTCTGGACTGGAAGAACGGGAGAAGACGGTTCAGGTTGAAGAATTTAGACTTTGAATGTGTTGAGGGGGCAGTGGTGCTGGTTGAGCATGATCATACTGAGCAGGCTGGAGGGTTAAAACTGGGGATCCAGAGGCTAGGAGTCATTGAAATGCTCAGCATGAAGGAGATTGTTCTGCTAGGGACGGTTCGTGATGGGTCAAATAGGAGCGTTAGATGCCAGGTCAAGTTCCTTGTACATATTCTGTTTCTGTAGTTCTCGTGAAAATTAAATGTGTTGTTGACAGTAACTCTTGAACAGCTGGGCTGAAATGGACAGGTGACATGCTTTGCTTTAGCTCTTGGACTTGCCACGTGGATTTGTATCAAGGTGGTAGAAGGATCGCATGTTATTTTTTCATTTCTTTAGTCCTACATATATAGCTCTTGACCATACATTGCACACTGAAAGTGCTAAATATCTAATGTTTAGATTAATTTATGGAATAAATTAATAGTCATTCTCTGTTATAAAGTCGAATTTTAGGTAATAGTTTCTATGTCTGCAAGTACCAGACCTTTCACTTGTGTTACTAATACCTTCCCCCTTTTGGAGGGGTGCCCTGTTGTAGAAGTGCTAGTTATCAGTGTTTTTGATAATTATCAGTTGCAGGTAAAGGAAGCATCATACCCTAAAGGAGTAATTAATTCTTATGCAATAGAAAATAGGCTCTGTAAGTTTGTTTAGACCTTTATCAACAGCAGCCACCTTGCTCTCTCACTAAACATTTTCTGTTTCCTTTGTCAGCATCCCAGAGGGTGAACTGAGTTTGGCTCGGGTCTGCCAATTGTGGTGTCTGTGCTGGCCTTAGGTTCTTAAGAGAGACTTCTTGGTCACAGCAGTGGGAATGGACAGAGAATAGAGAAGTGTTCCCAGGTGTTTTACTTAGAAGGGTTGAGGGTGTAGCTTAATGGTGGAGAGCTTGCTGAGCATGAGCTAGGTTCTAGGTTTGATCCCAGTACCATAGGAAAACAAAAAAGAAGAAAAGTAAAAAAGGGAACCTGTATCATGACATGCAGAGACATATTTACTTCTTTAAGACTTGGACCTTTGCTAGAGAAAAGTGTGTGGGTGGAAAGGAAGAGTTGGGGAACTCTGACTGTATATTTTCCATTCTTTGAATTTGCAGTGTTTGCATCATGAGCTTTTAGGCCTTTAACAGTAAGAATGAAAAAAGTTGAGTTGTACTAAAAGGAGATTAAGTACAGTTGGAAAACAATGGAATTATAAGTTCCAGTTTGTTATTTTGATTCCAGAAGGATTTGCCAGCTGTGGAAGTAACTCTCCTCTGTCCAGGTGTCTCTGTAGCATGACATCCTTAACTCTTAGCTTGCAGGTACTCTGTGCGTGTGTCACCTCAGATGGCAAACCGGATTGTGGATTCTGCAAGGAGCGTCCTCAACAAGTTCATACCCGATGTCTATATTTACACAGACCACATGAAGGGAGTCAGCTCTGGAAAGTAAGTGTCTGCATCTTGGAATGTTCTTCGGCAGCTACCTGAGCCTTTTTCACCTGCTGTTTTGAAGTTAAAACTGCCAGCTTGGAGGCTGAGCTGCAGAGGAAGAATGATTTCAGAATTAATTTCCTTCTAACTTACTGCTCATGTCACCAGCAGGTATTTCTTGGGTGTCTGTCACATCAAAAGTATCCTAGTAGTGCTGGGAGCTGAATTCTGGTACTTATTGGTGGAGAATTTAAACCTGTCTGTTAATATCAGTGTCTCAAGCTTTAAATGCCATTTGCACTCTGCTCTAGCAAAAAATTAAGTGGAAGGAATTCTTCCACTCTGAGCAAATAAGAATGAGGAAAAAACCTTTACTGCCTTAACAGCAAGTCAGCTTTTCTTTCCATCTGTGGGAACATCCTTCTTAGATCCAGAGAAAGTTGTTGCAGATTTTAATTTGGTTTACATAAAGCCTTTGCTACTATAAACAAACCAACCAAAAAATTTAAAAATTAAAAGCTAAAATATTTTAATAAGTAAAATGGAAATGAAAATAAAAAACAATGATATATGTACTACAAATGCCTATTTTAGGATTTGCTTTTGTATGTTTAGAAACAGGGAATTTAGGGGTTACAAAAATATGTAATCTAGAAAATAACTAAAGGAATAGGACAATGAACACCTGTGTATGTATCTTCCTTATACTTAACAATGAATATTTTGCCACAATTGCTTTACTTCTTTCTGACTTTTCTTTTTTGCTGGATCATTTTAGTATGAATGATAGCATCATTAAGTTTTGAAACTAAAATTTTCAGGTTGTATCTCCCAAAAAGAATCAAGAGCCCAAGGTTAGCCATTTGTGGGTTAAGAAGTCATCTTTTTCCTAAAAGGCAGCAGAGCTGATCCTTTTCTTAGCTGTTCCACCCAAGGTTTCTTTTAACTTCAGCAAAAAGAGAAAAGACAGAAAAGGTGGGTGAGGGCTTGAGTGTGAGTGAATATTTTTAATTTCATGAGGCCCAGTGGAGAGATGAAGGTGGTTTTAGAAGTTCAGAGATGGCTCCTGGTCCAGAGAAACAAGGGTGGTGGTGTCAGAGGTTAGGGTTAGGAAAGGGTTTGTATGCAAAACTTACTCTGCTTTCTGGGAGACTGGCATTGTTAATGATGGTCCCAAACCTTTGTTACTCAAGTATCAGCAATGTTTGTCTCATCTACATGTTGAGGGTGATAATGTTTGCATCCCAGGATTATTATAAACATAAAACATGTATGTAGCTAAGCATGTTTGTGCAAGCCTGCATTCCCAGTACTCTGAGAGGCTGAGGCAGGGAGATTACAGTTCCAAGTCTGTCCAGCCTAGGCAACTTTGTGGCTCGCTCAGTGATGAAAGGCGGATGGAGGGTAGGAAGGGCTGAGGATTTAGTTCACTACAAAGGCCTTGGGCTAAATCCCAGAAATGCAAAAAACAAAACAAACATATATGTAAGCTATCGATGCAGCCCCTCCCATGTAATAGGTGCTACAGCATGTTAGCCGCGCATGCTGATTTTTCCTCTCCCTTCTCCCTTCTTGGTTGGAGGTATGGAATATATGTCAACTGTTGGCTCTTTCCCAGAAGGATGATTGTAGAGGCTGGGGGCGCCTAAGTAGCTGCAGGAGTTGTCTAAATGCCCTGATTGTCTCGATCCCTTCTCTGTCTGGTCCTAGCTTGGCTGGAGAGTGGGGAGCAATGAAGCACAGCAGCCTTGAAGTCCATACTGCCTGCCACTAGCTATCGTGGCTTTTTTTCTTTTTATTGAGTTTATTGGTACAATCTAGGTATACAATACAGTTACAGTCATCATTGGGATTCTGTACCTTTACATAATAGGTCTTGATTCTCATTTTTTCCCCTTGTCCCTGCCCTCCCTTCACCCCCTCCTCCCCTCCCCATTACAAACACTTTATTTCCATTTTTTTCAGTTTCTCATATTTTTTTCCTCTCCCTTATTACCTTTCCCCCACCCTTCCCACTTTCCCTACACCTTTAGCCCTTTATTTCCTATTTCACATTATTAATTATCTCATTAGGATCTTGTGTACTATTACAGTTTTTCACACCAAAGAAACTATTCGGTATTTCAGTTAAAGAAATCTCTGTATGAACATTAAAAATGGGGAATCCTAAAATAAAACTAAAAAGGAAAGTAAAAGAGAAAAGGCAATGATATAAGATTAAAATAATCCTTAATTCTGAAGATGAAAATGGTCCCTGAACATATTTAAATTGCTTATTGTTCTTATAGTCTTATTTTGTTCTTTTTTCATTATTTAGAGAATACTTTATTAGTTTCTGTAATCAAACCCACGTAGATATGACCTTCCATATTTAGTACGATGTGTTACCCCTGTACACATGGGAAAAAAAAAATAAAAAATTAACATTTCTAGACCAATTATCGTGGCTTTTTAATAGTGCCACTGACTCAGTTGACAGAAATGCATCCTCATACTTGCTAATAGCGAGGTGAATCCTTATGTATGGATCAAGGTATGGATGTGTAGTCCTGTGGGTCATCAGTGCCCACCTTCATTTTGAAAATTACATGTAAAACCAATGCATGATTTGCTTTTAGTTTTCTAAATCTCAAGTGACAGATGAAAAATGTTGATTTCCCTTTCCTGTTTGTAAAATTATAAAGTCATGGATAGGTATTTTCCTCTCGATTCAGTGCAGTATGCGTATGAGTTAGGCTTGTTCAAATGCAGGAGCAACAATATATGTTAGGGCCGTGGCGTAAAATCCTGGGGGCCAGCCGTTCTTGCTGGCTTTTGTTAGCACTTTGACCAGCAATGCACATCAGGCCAGTGTGGCCCCTGTTGACTCTCATAGTAATTATGAAAAGTCTAATCCTCTACCAGTTGGAAAGCTCTGGTGAGGTCACTTGATGAGAGGCTGCCATGCCAATAAAACATGAAATAGGCCTAATAATGCACATAGTCTGAATTGTGGGGAAACAGCTGGAGCAGTGTACTTGGAGGCTAATCAGTGTTCTGTGTTTTCTCTAAAGTTCCTAATATGATAAGAGCAATTCTGATTAATAATAATTAATATAATTCATTGTAATAACCCATATACCCCACAAAACATTTATGTGGATGAAGAAATTTGGAAATATAGGTAAGTGCGTGAAAGCAGTGGTGGTAACCTGTCTCATGTCCCACCCCCACCTCGCTGTGTTTTCTGTTCATGTTTTGTGTCACTGCTTCTGTCTCTAAGCTGCGTGTCCTCATTCTCCTCCTGGTCAGATGACGTAAAGGCAGTTTGAGATTTCACTAGAATTTTCCATGTTCCCTGGATGATGGGTGCTATTTGATTGTTAGGCATGATTTCGAATGCCCTTGAACCTTTGCTTAAATTCCTAACTTGCTGCATCCCCTTGCTTTGGCACATGTTACTGACCCTTGACTAAATAGACGATTGAATTTTTCTGAAGACATTAAGTATTGACCAATGTAGTTCCGCCATATAGTGAGCTCATACTGTGTATTTAAAAGATTAATTTCACGCAGTTATTCGAAGGTAAATACTTCGGCTCAACTCATACTAGACTCGCAGAAGACACTTTATGAACAGTGTTGAATTGTGTTAATGGAGGCAGGCTTGTTATGGTTGTGCTGCTAGGAAAGCTGCTGTGTCTGGATGGCCTATTTGCTTCTGAGGTGTTGGGCAAAGAGGCATCTTAGAATATGAAACATTTTGGAATTTTGTGGAGAGATCTTTATTTGCATCGTTTTCAGGTTGATTTTCTTTTGTGGTTAAAGTGGTTGTTGCTAGGTGCTGTGAGGGCGGGAACTCGTGTTACCAAGGTACCCAAGGTTCCTGGCTCTTCTAAGCCTTCCCCGCGGATGCTTGTTCGATGCATGACTGAATAAGTCACCTGTAGTCCTGGACAAAAAGAGTGTTTGGTTCTGGCTGTTGCATGGTAGAAACACACTGGGAGAGATCGTAGTGCCAATCCACTAATTGTATTCATTGAATTCTGAGTTTAGAGCTTCCCTTTGGGCTAAAAGCATAAAGGTGTGCCTTCTGTAGACCCATTCTGGGTTGTGTCATATTTTTCACTGTGGTGTTCCTCAACGAGAGTTTTAACCAGGTGATCTCTAGGCCCCTTATACCTCTTGGATTAGTTGTGTCTGAGGGTTGAATAACTGGCTTTGGAGTCTTAAGACTTGCATCTCAGTCACTTTCTGCCTGTGTGGACTTGGTTCCAGCCGGTTAATTTTGACATTTCCTCATTTATGAAATGAAGGCAGCGATAGCTTCTCTGCGTGATTGTAATTTCTTAAGTATTATTTGCAGAACCCCTGTAATTGGCAGAAAGTAGATTCTCTCAATGCCTGGCAGCCCTGTTAACATTTCATATACTGTTGATTGTTGTAAACTCTGGCAGCAGGAGCTGTTGCAGACTAGAGAAGGGAGAAGGTGAGGGAATGAGGACTAGTAGGAGAAGCAGTGCATACTGTACCTTCCTTGGTTCTCCCTTATGTGCCCTCAGGAAGTGGTCTGTATTTTTAGTGTGAGGTAGTACTTACTCCCATAAGTGACTTAAGGGAGTCCAACAGAAGTCTTCAAATGCCATCCAAAAGATGTCTGTCTGCCCTTTCTGTTTGTTAGTGCATGTGCCTTTACCTACTCAGCATCTGTGCCTTTGAATCTCCAGGTCTCCAGGCTTTGGGTTGTCACTGGTTGCTGAGACCACTAATGGCACCTTCCTCAGTGCTGAACTGGCCTCCAACCCTCAGGGCCAGGGTGCAGCTGTGCTTCCAGAGGACCTCGGCAGGAACTGTGCCAGACTGCTACTAGAGGAGATCCACAGAGTACGTATGTCCTCAGCCTCTGGGAAAAGAATTTGGTGCTCATCATTTTTACTCTTCTTCAAGGGTGTAAGCCAAGGAGTTAACCGGTGTGTGCATATGCTTTAAACAGTTTAGCCTTAATGAGTTTAATGGATCAGTTGAATTAGTACGCAGAAACCCAGCTCCACTGGGTTGGGATACAAAGCAGGTACATTTTAATGGGGGCACAGGAGAGATCCGGAACAGAGTCATAAAAGAGAATGAAGGTTAGGGGCCGGGGATTTAGCTCAGTGGTTCTGCCACCTGCTTTGCAAGCTCAAGGACCTGAGTTTGATCCCCAGTACCAAAAAAAAGAGAATGAAGGTTAAACAAACATGAAACAGGGAGAGTGAAGGTGGTGACTACCCCATCATCCTGACCAAATAGGGTACCATCTCAGTGCTACCAGGTATTGTCATGTGGGAATGGGGAGTCATTGCTTTGTGATTTTTCAAGAGAAACTCAGAATCTGTATTTGTGTGTGGCTGTTGATTCAGATGTAAAGTGATGCCAACAGGCTGTATTTTACAGCATATTCTAGAGCGTAGAAGACTGCTTAGGGCAGGTAAGCCTGTGTCACAGTATGGTGGGGACTTTGGGTAGTGTGAAGATCTGGGAGCCGAGACCGAGTGATGCAGTATGAAGATAGGCTTTACCATTTGCTTCTGCAGCTCAGATCGACCTGCCTTCCCTGTGGCCATGCTCTTTCTGTGTCAGTCCATTCATACAAGATGTACATAAGCCTGTGCACACTTGTACTGCTTCCCTTAAGTAGGTGAGCTGATGGAAGTAAGGAAGAAATTGTGAGGGAAGGAAGATGGTGGCAGGAGGAATAAGGTGCATTCTCTAAGACCCTACCTACTTGGTTAGAGGAAGCCACAGACCTGGTTTCAAGATTTCAGTTAGTCTGTACTCTCTTCTAAAAAAAATTTTTTTTTCAGTCTTGGGAATTGAACCGAGGGCCTCTGCACTGAGCTACATCCTCAGACCTTTTTGTTTTTTATTCTGAGACAGGGTCTCACTAAGGTGCCCCAACTGGGCTCAAACCTGTAATCTTCCTCCCGTAGCTTCCCAGGGTGCTGGATTACAGGGATGTGCCGCCAAGTCTGCATCTCTTGCCTTGATTTTGCATCAGGAAGGTAAAACCTTTCTTTACACAAGTGGGGTCCAGTCAGGCTCCGAGGGAGGCCAACTCGGCTCTGTAGGTGCCGGGCTTTTCCATACTCTTGACTGACCACTAATGAGAACTGTACTTCGGCTTGCTTGCTCTTCAAGGATCTTTTCTGTATCTTCATATTTATCTCTCTGTTTCTTCCTGGATCTTAGTCATCTCTCTATCTCCAAGGAGTTTTGTTCTGTTTGAAGTAAAAAAAAAAAAAAAAAAAAAAAATCATATCTGAGTCCAGTGAATAACATAGGATAAGTGGTTTCAGTGGCAATTTTGTTTTTCTTTTGCCATTGGTTCATTTTCTCAGTCACTGTGGGAGGGAGCAGCCTGGATCATGAGATGTTGCTCAGAGGACACCTGACAGGTACAGTCTGCTCCCCAGATCCAAGTGAGAATGAAGAGTTTCAGCATTAGTTACAATTAAATATTCTAAATGGCTCTGTTTAGTGTGCACTTAGTTAAAAATGAAAGACAAAGCAGGATGGTGTTCCCTGGAAAGATTGACTCCCTCTTTTCCAGCACCGGCAGCTGGGAAGTGGTAGAGGAAAGAAGTGAAATCCTTCTCAAGGTGCAAGTGTTCTGTCATGGGTTTTGTGCAAAGTCTGCCACAATTTTTTGGTGCTAAATCAATTCATTTTTTGATGCTAAACATAATGATTTTGGAGGGGAGGAGATATGTAATGACTAAAAGTTTGGGGTAAACGGTGAAGAGGTTGCTCTCCAGTTAGTTCATGAAGTCTTACACCTCCACATTGTGACGCATGTGATGTTTGTGGGAGCTCAGGGAAACTCGTGGACTTGTGCAGGCTTCCTTTCCCTGGTCCTGTGGTGGCTGACCAGCTTCTGTCCCTTTCTAGAAGATCTTAGAAGAACTGAAAGCCCCACATCACAGAGCAGCATAGCAGGATCCCATGGGTACAGCTGGAGTTTGAATTTTGTATCCCCATAAATAGCAGAGTGTTAGCCTTGGAGTGAAGTCACAGCCCTCCAGGGCACAAGAGGAAAAACTCAGTCCGGATTGTAGTGTTACTATTTCTTTTCTCTAACTGAGATTTTCATTAAACCATTTTGTTACTCCTGGGTCAATTTTATTTTCTTTTAGGTGTTAAGAAAACTTTGTGTGTCTGTGATCTTTATTTAGTAGAAGGATGAAAAATCTTCATGCTTTTTTGAGTAGCTCTTTACGGATCTATGACGCAATGTGATTTGAATGAGTAACAAAAACCCATCCATTTTGAAGGTGTTGTTAATTTTTAACCAGAGTTTTAAGGCTTTGACCCAATTCTTCCTATGCACTAGTTACCAAGTTTTCTCAGTTCTGTATCAGGCTTCCTGAAACTGCCCCTTTCTTTGTATCCTTTCCCCTGCTCCATCCACTGCCGCCTTTCCTGCTTGGGGCACCTCACCCACATTCACATCCCACAGACCTGGATTATGTGTGGAAACCAGCTCTCTTCCCTGCCAGAGGGGAAAACCTTTCCACATTCTCTCCAGCCTCCTTCTGTGTCTCCATCTCCCTCCATCTCCCTCCAAATACCGGTCTGGTCTCTGCTCTTCTGGCTCTTCACTTTCCCAAGATCAAGTTACAATTCTTGACTGCATTAGGCAAGCCCTGCCTCAGGCTGACTAGCCCACTTTCTCTCTGCAGTTGTGAGTGGCTCCAGTCTGCGCCACACTGGCCCTAGTTCATTATCTTTCCCATGTTGTGCCTTTCCTTCTTCCCTACGCCCAGTCGTTTCTCCGGGGCCAGGTCAAGTCTGTGCTTCCTAAAAGCAGCCTCCCTCTAATGTTGGGTGAGTGACACCCCGCATCCTGTGCCTTGCATCTTGTAGTCCCCACCATCCCTGCCCCCGTGATGTTCTATACATGTGCAATGCACATTTTTTGCAGTAAAATACTAGTCTAGTACCATTAAGAATGGTGCAATAACAGTGTAGTGATAGGAAGCAGAGATTGAAGAGAACAGTTTAATTTTAGGGAATCTTCTGAAGGGGAACAGAATTCGTTTTCTGGATCAGATTTCCTGTTTTTTATGGAAAAGAAACTTTTGTCCTAAGTTTCACTGAGGTGAACACTGTTCCCTATTCTTTGTTAAAACTTAGGTAATTTAGGAAAACCTTTTTCTTATAGCCTTGTCAGGGCTACTACATGAAGTCTGAGCGCTGGAGAAAGCGTGTTTGCATCTGTGAGGTGATTTGTTCCCTAACCTACATGCATTAGAAGGGAAGGGTTTTCTTCCTATGACTAGCCTGGCAGCCACCTGTTCTGCTCAAGAGTCCAGCTGCAGACAGCAGTGTACCATGAGCAGCAGCTGGATTTTTCATTGTGATTTGTGCAAAGTAGAAATTCTAGGTCATCCTGCTCATGCGATATATAATATGAGTTTGAATTGTAAATAAAGTTATCCCTGAAAGAATAACAGAAGTAAAGACATTTAAAAGTCACAAATTTAATCCCCGGTAGTGGGTGGATTCAAATGGGCTGAAATGACTGAGAAAATGAAGAATGACAGAAGAAAAACAACCAAAGCCATTGTGCCTCAGGAGAAAGGTTTTGAAGAGAATTTTATTCTGCTTATTGATTTGGAAGGAAAAAGAAGAGCAAGTTTCAAGAATAATGGATAAATCATGAGCACGGAAGGATCTGATTATAATGGTGTTCCAGTTTGAAGGCACGCAGGAAGGCGTAAGCAGCGAGGTTAAGAGCGTTGGGAGCAGATTCTGAGAGTACTGGAATAGGTGTGGGGAATGTGGTCCCAGAAAGAATGTAAATGCTTTAAAGGTGAAAAGCCTTTTGGGGTCGATAGTGTTTTTCTGAGACAGATTAGACAAACATCACTCACGGATCCCTTGGAATTCATCTATTAGAGGTCATTATGCTTTTTTTGCTTGTACTCAATAAAATGTCCCACCTCTACTCCAATTTCTAAGGCAAAGTTTTACTTTTTTCTAGATTCTCTTCAGGAAATTTGAATGTCTGCTCATTTTGATATCTCGGTTATTATAATTGAGTTGGTTACCTGTTAATTTAACCTCCTCAAGTTAGTTGATGAAACGGTTACTCTTACAAGGCTGTATTTGGTAGGCTCTAATGTTGTGAGTATGCTGCTGGTCCCCTCTCTTTTTCTTGTGTTGTGCTTCCATTTCTGGTTTGTAAGTGATTAATCATTAAAGTGTTTGTATTTACAGGGTGGATGTGTAGACTCAACCAACCAGAGTCTGGCTCTGCTGCTCATGACCCTTGGACAGCAGGATGTTTCCAAAGTCCTGCTAGGACCAATCTCTCCTTATACGTAAGTTGTTTTCTTTTCGCCAGTCTCATCACTCTGTCCAGTTTAGTTTTGTAATTGCACAAAATGACACGTGACCGCCTGCTTGCACTGACCCTTAAATGAGCCAGCAATTGCCACTCCACCTGGAGTTTATTTTTATACCTTGCCTTCCTTTCTTTCCTCATTCCCAACTTTCCTGCATGATATATATTGGGCCGTTCTTTTGTTTGTGCTTTAGATTTTATTTCCATTTTTGTGGTAAAACTTCTGGTTTTTTGTGGCTTGAATTTTGCTCTTTAATTTTTAAAATCTCTGTTCCATAGCAGTCTTACCTGCTGTGGCAAATGGGCTTTCTTTTTTCAAGATGCTAGAATACTGGCTAGCTGAAAAAAATGTAGAAGGGCAAAGTTCGTGGTAATGCTGCTAGATTAGTCTGGAAATTATAGAGGTGAGTTTGGTTTTTTTAAAAGCAGAAATTTATTGCTAATGGGTAAGAGCAAGCATTCTCTAAAGCAGTCAGTCAGACGAATTATGAAGGGCACAGTGTAAAGAAGAAAAAATCAAATAGCACAGTGAAAGCAGCATTTCTCATCAGTAATAAATGAGGTTGCTGGAAATAGGCTCCTGGAGTACTGACAGTGTGTGTGCGTGCAAATACATACATGCGTTTGTAGACCTAGAGATGATTATATGGCCATCTGTGGTAGTAAGCGGGAGGGAGGAAGTTCTCAGCTAGATATGAGACTGAACTGTCCTTTTTCGGTTATCATGGTACCGATGCTGTATGTCTGAAAGGTACAGTACTGTGATAACTGAAGAATGGTGGTGCCATCACGTTGAGAAAGAAAGGGGCGGGGACCGCAGTGAGGCCCGCAGCAGTGAGCCGTAGCTTTGGGGTTGTGGAAACCTGCAGTTTGAAAAGAGATTTTTTGGGGAGGCTTTCTTTTTATTTTTTGAGAAGGCGATGGAGGATTTTTTGGAACCGAAAAATGGAGGAGAATACATTCTGTTAGCAGTGGGGGAAAACTGATAAGCAGGGAACTGGCAAGCGGCACATTATCTCCTGATAACATGCGTAAAGTATTTCCCAGGACAGGAAACCTAAAATTGAGTAATCCTTAGTGACATGCTCACATCAGTAGTCAACACTGCTAAAACGGACTTGCTGGTGAAGTATTTGGAGAGAAGGTGAGCATAGCCTAAGTGCAGAGATTCGTTTTCCATGGAGTTTGCCAAAGCTGCTAGCTGGGACCACCCTGAGTCCCATTGGCTTTTTAGCCAGTGCCACTGCCATTGCATTCCCGAGTTCTGCTTTGGGGCCACAGCAGACCTCACACAGCAAGAGTTGTCTCAAAGTGTGTGTGGTCCTGGGACATGGGCTTTGGCAGAACATTTGTGAAAGTGGAATATATATATATTTTGACATCTTTTTTTTTTTTTTAACTTTTGGGGAGTTTTCCAGTTTGGCTCCAGGGACTTTTTATACTCTTTAGAACCTCAGCTTCACTGAAGAAGGTAAAATGTGACTGGACATTTGTAAAAGTTCCTGAGTCAGATAGCCATAGTGGCACACACTTGTAATCCCAGGAGAATCACTGAGTTTGAGGCCAGCCTGGGCCACATGGTGAGTTCAACACCAGCCAGAACTATATGGTGAGACCCTGTCTCAAGAAACCAAAAAGATAAAATAAAAGTTTTAGTGTCATCCTTAAAACACCTTTTACCAAACATTAATTGCAATATTTTCTCTTCTGTAAATCTTGTGTATATTATTAAATCTCCAGGGAAAGCAGTGATCTGCTCTGAATGGAGCTTTAAAAGAGTAGGACCAATTATAAGACTGTGTGTGTGTTTGTTTTTGTTTTCATTTTTGGCATCAGGGATCAAACTTGGGACCTTGTGCTTGCAAGGCAGATGCTGGCAGATGGTGGCACCACTGAGCTAAATCTCCGACCCCAAGACTGTTTTAAAGACAGGCCTGGAGCTTAGCCCCATTCTCTTTGGATTACCTGCCTCAAGGCGTCAGGTAGCAGGCCCTGTCATAGGGCAGGAAAGGGCAGCCTCCCCAGTATAAGGAGGAAGGGAGTATGTTTTCAAGAAAGCTGTGTTTTTGCCCTTTATCATCATGGAAAGTTCAGTGGCCCAAAGTGATTAAGGGTGAAGTTGATACCTTATAGTTATAATTAACGTCCTATTTATGGGTACATTTGAGGGTAAAATGAAAGACAGTCCAGGTCAGGGCCTTGATGGTAGGGGGAATAGTTTATTCTAGTTGGATGCAAGAGCTTTAGAGGCCAAAGTATCACAATTATTTTTATGTGCAAAAATGTAGGACTCTATTTTTTGGGGGGTTTTGGTGGGGGTTGGTACCAGGGATTGAACTCAGGACCTTGCGCTTGCCAGGCAGGCGCAGTGCCACTGAGCTACATCCCTGGCCCTACAACTCTGTTTTATGGAGCCTCAAATTTCTAAAGAAAACCAAAAGCAAGACCTTCTTGCTTTAAAAAATGTATTTCTTCTGGCAGCTTGCACATGCTTTGATTTGTATAAATAGTTTTTAATGTCTGTTTGCAGGACATTGGGATGAGAGGGATGTATTCTCTTTCACTGTTGCTTTCAAGCTCTTTCTGGAAAGTACAAGTCTCTTATGTTCCTCCCTGTCCTCTGCCCACTGTCTTGCTTCAGGAGGTTGTTGTTAGTGGTTTTCTGACTACTTAAGAAAGTAAGTCTACATGTGTGAAATTCTGGAGGGAGGACAAAGAATTTTTTTCCAGTAGAATAAAATAGTGTGTGTGTGTGTGTGTGTGTGTGTGTGTGTGTGTGTGTGTGATTTATAGTTAGTAACAGCAGTTCTATCCTATGTTCAAAGAGCTTAATTTTATAATTTATATTTTAAGAATTGGATTAAAGGCAGAAAAATAGATATCAAGGAGCATCTTAGCACTTTTAGGAACTGGGATTGGACAGAGGTTACCCTTGTACAGACCTCAGGGTCTGGTCTATCTGGACTTGAGTTCTGACTCTGCCATGGAGCCACTGGTGGATTGTAATGAGATCTAAGTATCTCTGAGTCTTGGTCCTACCTGTAAATAAGGTAGATGGTTCTGGAGTCATTGGCTTTAGGAGCCAGAGTGAAGCTTAGGTGAGTCCCAGTGCTCGGTGCTCCTGGCAGCATGCCTAAGGAGCTCACTCAGTACTGGATGCCTTGGCTTCTGGGTGCTCGTAGCCCTACCCCAGGCCTTTCTCCTTAAGTTTGTGAGTAACTTCCTTCAGTCATATTTACTTTGCTTTAGTAACATGACTGGAGGGAGTTAGTCATGTGGTCCATAGATCCGAACACATATCTTATTTAGCATTCCCAAGAGTTCTGTAAGGTAGGTGTTTATTAAATAAACATGGTGCTTATTATAAGCCAGATATTCTTTTTTTTTTTTTTTCTTTTGTTTTGCTGTGCTGAGGATTGAATCCAGGGCCTCATGCATGCCAGAGAAGCTCATTATGATGAGCTGCATCCACAATGTTTCAAGTACTTTAACTCATTTAGTTTTCAGCACCACCCTAGGGGTGTATAAAAGCAGGTACTATTATACGCTCCATCTTACAGGTGATAGGGTTGAGGCACACAAGTTCTCACCTTCCATCCTCACATTGGTGTTCACCAGGACAATTTTATCTGGAATTGCTGCGTCCCTGAACCACTGTGCTCTTCTGTGAGACCTGGGATTCCATCCATTATCATTGAACTCCTAGCACTTTGCCTGAGGCAGGATGCCTTGCTGCATTTTTTTCAGAAAAGTTCTTTCAGATTCCATATTGAAGGGCAGGAGAATTAGGGGTGTGGTAGAGCAGTGTGCAGGACCCTCTGTCATGGTTTCTGGAGAGACTGCAAGCTGTGTCTAAGGTCAGGATCCGCCAAGTTCTGGCTGGTTGTGAGTCAATGGACCGGTGACTGAGTCTCATGGCCTGTAGTTGTTGACCAACCGTGGCAGCGAAAACAGCCCATCTTTTGAAAATACACAGGAAAAATTATCTCTGTGTTGCAAAATTCTCTGAAACCTGCTTATCAGATGAACAGAAGGCTTCCATAGCAAACCTATTGTTTTTTGTTTTCTGAAAATAAATCACATTGTCTTGAAAGAAATACGTAAGGGCTTATTATATCTAACTCTTTAAGAGTTAAAATTCTTCACACAGGAGTTGCCTACACCTCCATTTCCCCAAGATGTCTTGTCTGGAAAGCTGCTGGCTGCACTGTGAGGGTGGTGTCTGCTGAAGGGCAGAGTTGCCTTCAGTGTGTCCTGGCCATGTGGTTGTATCTAGGAAGTGTGAATCTGCTGCACTCAGGGAAGGAAGGAACAGTGGTGAAGTGGGGAGGTGACTGGGTGGGGCTGTGGCCTGCAGGGAGACCCAGGCAAGTCTGTGCTTCTCTTGGCTCTCGTTTTCTTCAGGAGGCTATCAGTTGGGATGTAGCATCATCTCTGGTCACTTCTCAAGTTCTAAGCATTTTTGCTGTTTAATATCCCACACGCTGGTGACACAGGAGAATGAGTCTGGAGGTGAGGAGAGGCATTCCGAGGCCTGCGTTAATCCAGTCTCTTCTATGGTTTTCCTCACACGCTGAGAGGTTGGCAGAACATGAGGTAAAAAGTCAAACTGATTTTTCTTTTTCTAAACGTTCCAAAGGCAACAGATACTCTGATGCTGCAAATACAGAGGTCTGCACACTCAAGCCTGTGTTTCTCCCATCCTTTCCAAGAGATCAGGCAAGCTGAGGCCCCACAGGAATTGTGCCAGAGGGAGAGGGTGTCTGGGTTTTCAGCACAGTTGAGTGATTCAGCAGCAGGCTGGGTGAGGCTGTGGGAGCAGAGCATGCCTGAGCCCTGTGTTAGTCGGCTGCTGCAGCCTGGAAAGAGGGAACAGGCTGTTTTCTCCTTAGAATTCAGATGAGGGCGTGAGATGGCTGGTGTTTTCTGTGTTCCTGCCAGCTGGAAGCTTGGCCCACAGATGTGGCCTGTTTATCTATGTGTTTGATGTATTTGTTTTCTTTTTTCCCTAGGATAGAGTGGGGGAGGTAATGGGATGGAGGAAGAGGGGGGATAAAAAAGAAGATTTCATTTGGTTAGTAAGAAAGGAAAGCAAGTGGGGGAGAACTAACTTCCTTTAATTGCCAAGAATGTTGAGATCACTTCTCAAAATTACTCCTAGCTTCTAAATTCTACTTGGTGCCCCTTTATTGAGGGTCTTAGTGTCTCCAGGTATAATGCATTTCATCTGTAGAGGTCATTGGTATTTATATAATTTAAAAAAGGGGGAGGAGACAGTTAGGGAGACAACTATACATATATAAGCATCTCGTTAGACACCATCAGTGCAAAATGCTAGGGAAGCCGGGGGCGGGGCGGCAAAGTCATGTGGGGTAGGCATTATTGGAAGGGAAGGCTTTGTAAGTGAGGTACTGTTTTGAAGATGAAAGTGAAGTTGTACATTGCTAGGTGGAAGAGAAGGCAGAGGTCTTTCTGTGAGCATGGTTATTGGGTCATCTGCTGGCTCATGCCATGCTGGTCATTTCAGCCAGATAGATGAATTATTCAGACCCCTCCTCCTTATTGCTTTTTCTCTCCTCCGACAAGATCAAAGATAAAGGAGGGAAAGAAAAATTCATTGCAATTGGCTTAATACTTAGTTTGGGAAATAGTAGTGATGGAAGCCAGAATCAGTATTTTTTAAACTGCATAAATATGTATTTATTTATTTTAAACAGGTTTTTAAAAATACAGTTATACAACACAGTTTACCCCTTTAAAATGTACAATTTAATGGTTTTTAGCCTATTCGCAGAAGTTACATAACCGCAACCACAGTCTCATTTCAGGACATTTTCATCACCCCGGGAAGAAGCCCTTTGCCAGTTTGTGGTCACTCCTCATTTCCCCCACTTTCCCCACACCAGGGAGTTACTAGTCTGCTTTCTGCTTCTCATGTGGTAGGTTTTACTGTTGTGGGCATTTCATATAAGTAGAATTACACAATGTGTGGTCCTTCATTGCTTGGTTTCTTGCACTTTATTGTTTCATCCATGTTGTAGTGTATGTTGGTATTTTGTTTTTATGGCTGAATAATATTCCATCAAATACTTAATCCATTCATTAGATGATGGGCATTTGGGTTGTATCTACTTTTTGATTATTATGAATAATGCTGTCATAGACATCTGTACAAGAGTTAGTGTGAGTATATTGTCATTTCTCTTAGGTATATGCATGAGTGGAGTTACTGTGTCAGATGATAACTCCTTATTTAACATTTTGAGGAATTACCAAATTGTTTTCCCTAGCAGCTGTACCATTTTACCTTCTTACCAGGAGTGTATGAGGGCTCTAATTTCTCTGTCCCCTCACCCACACTGTTTTATTGTCAGGCTCTTTTAGTATTGCCACCCTACGAGGTTTGAAGTATTATAGTGATTGTGTGTTTTTTGTTTTGTTGTGTTTTTGGTACCAGGGATTGAACTCCGGGACCTTGTGTTTGCGAAGCAGGTGGTAGATCCACTGAGCTAAATCTCTGGCCCCAGTGTTACAATGATTTTTATTTTCCTTTTCCTAATGTTGGACATGTTTCCATAGGTTGATTATTTGTGTGTTTTGTGGAAGGAAATTTCTCTTGGTTTCTGAAAACTGTTATTAAATTGTAAAAGTTCTTTATGTATTGTGAACATCAGACTGTTATCAAATAAATGATTCACAGATATTTTCTGCCATCATGTAGAGTGTCTTCCTTTCTTGATAGTGTTCTTTCGTGCACAAGTTTTTAATTTGATGAAGTCCAATTTATCTCTTTTTTTATTGCTGTGCTTTTGGTGTTATATTTAAGAAACTATTAAAACTGTTGCCTAGCTAAAAATATTGAAGATTAGCCCCTGTGTTCTTCTATATGCTTTAGCTCCAATACATGAGTCTTTGATCCTTGGTTTTGGTTTGGTTTCGTTTTTTGAGGTAGGGTCTCCTTATGTAGTTCAGGTTGGTCTTGAATTCACTATGTTAGCCCAGGCTGGCCTTGAAACTCGTGGCAGTCCTCCTGCCTCAGCCTCCTGAATGCTGGGATTACAGGTGTGCACCACCATGCCAGACAATTTACTTTTTATTGTTTTGTTGTTGTTGTTGTTGTTTGTTTGTTTTTGTCTTTTTTGCAGTACTGGGATTGAGCTCAGGGACTTGGCACATGGTAGGCAGACACTCTGTCACTGAGCTGCTTCTCTAGTCTTTAAGTTCTTTTTTAAACGTTGAGACAGTGTCTTGCTAAGTTACCCAGGCTGGGCTTGAATTTGCTGCCACTGCCACCACTGCCGCCGCTCTCTCCTCTGCCACTGCCTCTTCCTCCTCTTCCTCCTGCTCTTCCTCTTTCCTTTCCTTCTCTTCTTCTTTGACTTCTGTTAGTAGTGTGCAATGATTGTATTTGTTGTAGGGAATTGGTACATGTCTATAACACATTTCAGTTCATTTTATTTCCCCCTTCCCTCCACCCCTCCTTTTATTTCTCCAGCGTTAAATTTATTTATCTTATAAGACCCTATAAAATTAGTTATCATATATACAGATTAAAAGCCAGACTAATAGGCTAAAAATCATAAAACAGGTAAGATAACTGTACTAAGTCAAATTACATTTTTACATACATTGTCAGTACTGGATTACAATAATTTTTCCTCTTTTTTCCTATTGTATGTCTTTTATTTTTTGTTTGTTTGTTTGGTTTGTTTTTTGAGACAGGGTCTCACTATGTAGTTGAGACTGATCTGGAATTCACTGTGTAGCCCAGGCTGGTCTCGAACTCACAGCAATCCTCCTGCCTCAGCCTTCCGAGTGCTGGGATTACAGGCGTGCGCCACCGCACCCGGCTTTTATTTTGTAGTTTATTTATATATTGTGTATTTTATATAAAAGAAGCCATGAGACCTTTAAGCTTGGGTATCTTATTTACTTTACTTAATGTTACGGCTTCAGGGTTCATCCATTTCCCTACAGATGACTCAAGTATATCCTCCTATAAGGGAGAGTGGTACTCAGTCTTGTGTAAATAAAATACCGCATTTTATTTATCCATTTACCTGTGATGGACATACAGCTGTAGCCATTACGAATTGTGCTGCTGTAAACGTGGGTGTGCTCACATCACTGTGGCATGATGCTTGTAACTCTTTTGGGAAGAACTTGTGGTCCTCTTGCCTCACCTCCCAAGTAGCTGGGATTATAGGTGTGTGCCACTGCGCTTCACTGGTTAAGAGTTAATTTTTGTGTATGATAATGAGGAAGGAGTCAAACTTCAGTCTCTTCTGTGTGGCTGTCCAAGTTGTTTCCGTATCAGTTTTTGAAGAGTTTATTTTTTTCCCAGTTGAATTATCAGATTGCCCTTAAATGTGTGTTTATTTCTTGACTCTCAGTTCTGTTCCAGTGATCTGATCTGCACATCTGAGATCAGTGTTTCTAATGTTCCTCACGTGGTTCTACCTGCATTTGAAGTTGAGAACTATCTGGCCGGGGTAGGGAATTTGGCTAGTTTGAGCGGGAGGCAGCATAACCCAATGTTTCCATAATACTTTGTTACAGATGTTTAGGCCACAGTTCTTCACTAAAGCAGGCTTTCCCAAATTTTCCTGGTAAGAATTGACATGATGCTTGCTAACAGCGGCTTTCTGACCCCCGTGAGCTAGGGAGCTCAGAACCCGGGAGAGGGCGGAGAGGGCTGCCATTTTGAGTGCCCTGTGAGTCCTGCTCTTGCACATGGATCATCTTTCCATACTGGTTGCTAGTTGTTCAGAGTCTTTGGAATCTGTGTGTTTAGAGGCCTCTCCAGATGAGTCTCATGGTCATACTGCTAGAGTAAGTTTGGAGTCTTCCAGCGCAGGCCATTAGAGCCAGTGTGACCACACTACGGTCTGGCCACCGTATTTCATAGTCTCTTGCTCACACGCACAAATACTGTCATACCCACATCTTTCCCATCTGTATTTTTTTTAATTTAAATTTCCTTAGTACTTTGTAAGAATATTGAACTTACCTTGTCTGTACTCCTTCTGTGAAGTATTCATGAGGGAAGGGCTTTTTATTTTCATTGTTTCAGTTGGCTGCCACACTTCCAAGCGGTAAGAACAGTGCCCTCTATAGTAGGCACTCAGTACCTACTTGGTGAGTAAATTAAGAGAACTGTGAGGAGTGAAGGGAGAATTTACCTATTTCAGTGTCAAAAATAGTCATTCTTCCTGTTTTTTTCCTCCACAATGCCATGAATCATGGGATACATGCTTCTATCTTTGTATGGATGACTCAGAATTATCACCATATTTATTTCTCTTCTAACAAGTGTGTTAATTCTAAGTGGCTCAAGTGTCTTTTGTTGTGGGTAGCCTTTTTTAGTTGAATTTCTCTTGCTGAATTGTTGTATCTCTGCAAGCTGTCTAAATCCTCCTTGGAAACTGACAGGCTGGAAATAAGTACTGTTTAATCAAGTTTGATTACAAGTTAACCTTGAGTGCAAGTTAATTTCAGTCCTTCCTCTTGCAAAAGCCTGGATTTTAGGTAGGAGAAGAGGAGGCATTTTTTTTTTTTTAATGAATTCTTTTGTCTTTTTTTTTTTTTAGGATAGAATTTTTACGGCATTTGAAGAGCTTTTTCCAGATTATGTTTAAAATTGAAACCAAACCATGTGGTGAAGAACTCAAGGGTGGGGACAAAGTCCTGATGACCTGTGTTGGCATTGGCTTCTCTAACCTTAGCAAGACCCTCAAGTGATACTGTCACAAGATAAGTCCCTGTTGCCTACACACAAAACAGAAGCTGCCAAAGGGACCAAGTACAGATGTATTCCTTTGGGACGGAATAATCTGTATATTGAGGACTGTCTTAATTTTTCATTAAAAATACCAGTATACAAATAAAAACCATCTGTCCTTCCTGTGGTTTCTAGCCGTTTTCCCCTGGCATTGACATTCCTCGGTGGCCCGGTCACTGGTGCTTCCCTGGCTGACCTGGAAGAAGAGTGCCTCCAGGATGCAGGCTCGCTGCGAGCAACAGCACAGTCGGCGCTTCTGCAGTCCACATCCCTGCGCTCCTGTCCTGTGGCCTTGTTACAGCCCTGTGGAACCTGTTCTGTTGTTTCTGCAAGGTCTTCCTCAGTTTGTGTTGTAGGGATTAAATGTAACTATGTTAATAACATCACATGGTGCCATAGAGGTGTCAGAAACTGCTATATTAGACTTTCTTAGCTCCTGTCTTGATTGTTGTCACGGACACATACTGTACCTCCTTGGCTCACTGTGCATGTGAGGGATGGGTCCCTGGAACAGGAGGGCAGTTATTGGATGTTTCTACATGTTTTCTGTCACAGATGTGCCATATATTTTATTTCATTCTTAAAATAACCCTATAATATAAATTGTAATATCTCCATGAGATAGCTCAAAAAGTTTGTTATTCCTTGAATACTTATAATGAAAAGACATCAGATCTCTTAAGAGTTAAGAGTCAGGGTCTGGGATTTTCACATACTTGTAAGCCAGTAAGTTAGATTATTATTGCTTCATGGGTGTTAGCAGAAGGCATAAAAGCCCTGGCTTGGAGACAGAGAACTAAATATAGCGTAGCAGGCCACATGGAGTTTCATGTTTATTGCTTTCCCCTGTCCCTCAGGTCCCACAGAAGGCAGGAAGGGACCCAGGTAGGTGTCATGCCTGCAGTGATTTTGCATGATAGCCAAGAACATGTATGCTTGGGAGCACCGCCTCTTTTTTAGCAAGCCTGTTCTTTGTTCTGCATAGAGACATTACTTCATCCCTCAAGGTGGTTGTTGCAAACACAATTCTGAGAAGAACTTAACACATTCATGACAGGGCTGTAATTTGTATGTCTCGCTGCTGGGCACCTCTGATTTGAACGTGTGAGTGTGTGTGTGTGTGTGTGTGTGTGAGAGAGAGAGAGAGAGAGACTGTCCCATCGGGTGGCACGGTACACCAGTCATTAGTGGCATAGGACAGTTGATTCAAGTCGGTGGGAATGTGTTAAATAAAGGCCTTTCTAGTAAAAGTATGCAGGAATACCTAGGACTCATGTAAATTGGCCTTTACAACTAATAAAATAATTCTACATTTGCTGTATATGAGTTGTAGTTGATAAGAGAGGAAAGATCTAATGTTATTTTCCACCTGGGCTGGGTATTTGAAGTAATGAGTCTTTGCCTCACCAGTGTTTCTTGGTCACCCCCCCTTCAGTGAAAGGGGCCAGAGAAAAGCTCGTTCTGGTGAGTGGAGGTAGGGAAGGATGTGAGGGAGAGTGCTAACCTGGAAGGCCAGGCTGTTCCGAACTGAGGCCCTGCACTGAGGGCTTTATACATATAGTGTGATGGTGTTCTGCTGGTACATAAATTATCACAAAATCCACTTAACTTTTCACAGTTCTGTAAGTCCAGACTCCACATGGGCTTGGTGAGATTCTCTACACAGGTCCAACTAGGCCACAACAAGGTGTCAGCTGGGCTAAGCTTTCATTTGAAGGCTCTGGAAAAGAATGTGCTTCTACAATGTGCAGGTTATTGTCAGTATTCAGGACATGGGACTGAACTCTCTATTTCTTTGCTAGCTGTCAGTTGCAGACAACTCTCCGTGTATAGAAACTGCCTGCATTTCTATTCACTTGGCTTCCTCCATCTTCAAGCATTGAATTTGACTACTTCTTGTGATGCTTTTTTAATGAATCACAGGCTGGGCGTGGTGGCACATGTCTGTAGTATAGCACTCAGAAGGCTGAAGCAGAAAGATTGCTATGCATTTGAGGCCAGCCCAGTCTATGTAGTGAGTTCAAGGCCAGTCTTAACTACATAGCAAGACTCAGTCTCAGGAAAAAAAAAACGAAAAAACAAAAAAACTCAGCACAATTGTCACACTCTTGTAATCTCCCTATCTCAGTTAAGGTCAGTTGATGACAGCAGTGCCAGGTGTATGAATAACCATGAGCTACAAATCATAGATAGCCATCTTGGAATTCTGCCTGCCATATATTGTCATTTTATTTAATGCCGCTGATGTTTTAACTCAGATCTACCCACATGGAACTAAGTAGCCACATTTCTTTGGATATGTCAAATACCATTGGACGGGAGCCTTCTATCCTGTGGTACAAGCTTTGAAAATGGTATTGTTGGTCACTTTAGGGTGACATGTGGAGGCCAGACAGGTAGTTGTAAGCAATCAGCGGATGTGTGCTCCTTTCCGTGTAAACCTGCCTATCTTTGGTGGGGCTGCGGTCCTCCATCTGGCATCACTGCACCCGGAGTTCCAACACCAGGTGCAGTGGTGTTGATATTGTTGGAGACACATTCAATATTTACTTAACCTATTTGCAGCTCCATCTCAGATTCTCACAGGAAGCAACACTTCCTTGGGCAGAAGTCCTCATTTTGTGGTTTCTGGTACAGCTTGGAGACCATTCCACTCCTACAGTCTGTGCCAGCCTGGAGTACTGTGCCGAGAGAGATTCTAGCAGTGGGAGGCTTGGTTTTCTGTGCTGGCCTGTGCGCCGACAGAGGCAGACCATTCTGAGTCACAGTAGCAGATACTCATTGGGGCCTGTAAGCTTTTACACACACTGCAGCCTTGCATGGCAGAATCTTTGTCTTTGTTTTTCTATCATCTGCCAGGCCGTGTTTCTTCCGACATCATGATTAGTTTACCACGTTTGTCAAAACCCTTGGTAAGGCGTAAGAGGGAGTTAGGGTGTTACAGCGTGACATGCTCATTGGGAAGGAGCAAGAGGAGGGCCTGATGAAATCCACATTGCCCTATTAAGGCCACTAAACCTCATGGGTTTTATTTTTTATTTTTAAAAACCTATGATAAGGCTGGGGATTTGGCTCAGTGGTTCTGCTGCCTGCCTTGCAAGCCCAAGGGCCTGAGTTCCATCCCCAGTACCAAGAAATAAAACTAACAAGTAAATAAAATAAAAACGTGGTAAAAGTTATCTAATTATAGATCCAACTTAAAAAAAAAAAGCAAAACCCTGAAGTTGCAACATGAAGTCTGTCCTTTCTCACTGTCCCTATGGCAACAAAAGACCATGGTGTGGCTGGCCATTTCCCTACTGCTCTTTCTGATGGGAGGCACCTAGGAGAGATCAATACTGGCAGTTAGCTTTGTGGTCACCCAGCAGAAGAGTCGAGTGGCTAAAGAGGGAAAAGGAGGAGGACAGATGGAGCCCAGGAGGCGCGAAGCAATTACTGAAGGTAAATGGACCACTGAAGTGCCGGTGGGGGGGCAGAATTTCCAGAGTTTTGGCCGTACCTGAGGTGAGAGGGTAGGATGTACCTGAATGAGGCGTGGGACAGGGTGAGCTAAAGAAATGGACTTCCTGGTGTGGGGCAAGGGTGGGAGGGGAAGGATGGAGGGTTCCATTACTGTTCTGTAGCTGCTGTGCTGGAGGCTGCAGATGTGCAGGGGGCGGTGTTAACCAGCCTGTGACGCGTGGGAATGCAGAACATAGTCTGTGCCCACCTTGTGTCTCTGTTCCTCATGCAGCTGAGTGATCGGCAGTTGCTCAGGCTTAGTCAGAACTCTGCTTTCAGACGTTCTTGGACTGTTCTTCAGAAGTGACTCATAGTTAATGGGAATGTCAGTAGGCAAGCCAGGTTTTTTGTACTTTCGTGGCCATGTCTAAGAAGCCATTTGTGTGGAGCAATTTATCAGTGTCCAACATGTCAGAGGATTGGCCACATCTCTTCCATACTCAAACAGATGAAAGCTGTCGTTCTGTCAAGTTCCCTGATCATAGGATCGCTCTAATTTCTTGTCATATTTGGCCCATACTTGTCAGCTAGTTTCATTCTAGGCCGTGGGTGAACACATGTTTTAAAACATCCTAGGTGTTTCTGACATTTGAGTTTTTTTGAGAGCCCAGATCATAATTTATTCCTCTGTATTTCCTCCCTATTCCAAACCTTCCAAAGAACCTAGGCATCTAAAAATACCCAGACTGGTTATTAATAATTTCTACTGTATTTCGGGAAATGATATTTTCGGACTGATGAAGGCAGGTGGATTTATAGAAACCAGAGGCCAAATTAAAGATGAAAGAACTGAGCCCAGCGATGACACATGGCCATTTCGTGTGTCTGTTCTCTTGAGTGCCCTGTCACCAAGGCTGTCATAGAATTGACACACAGTTCTCTTAGACACACTGGTGGCCATGCAGGGAGCAAGTGCTACTCCAAAGAAGAAGGCAAGGGCGGCTATTTATTCCTCTGCCACCTGAGAATATTGGGATATCGCCAAGCTGTAGCAGTCTTCAGGGACGAGCGTTAGTGGAGGCCGCATATTTGGACATAGTATCTGGCTTTCTACATGGAAGAATCCAGCTTCAGTTTGACAGCCGCCCTCAGGGTGTTTTAAGTGCCGAATGTACTTGGTCTCTGGTCCTTCCATGTGCTCCTTTCTAAGTCTTAAACCCAGTTTTGACTAATCTGCTGTTTTACCCATGAAGGCATAAAAGGACCCATGCACATGATTGTAGGAAGCCTGGGAAAAATACTGGTTACAAATTATGCAAAGAAAAGAAAAAAAATAATTAAATACCCACAAAATAAAATATATGCTTTCTAGCTTAATCATTAAAGTATTAAGAACAACGTAAGTGTAGTTTTTTTCCACAAGGGTTTCTAAGCACAGTGTGTGTCAAAGAATCATAGCTAAATAGATATTAAATGATGTATTGACTGCCAAGAAATTTAAAAGGCAAAATTATTTTTTAAAAAGTGGAAGCTTTTGTTTCCCTGAATTTCAGCAGAGCATTTTGGAAACAACACAGGCCTAGGAGTTGGATCTCTGCTTGAATCCTAGCAGTGTCCACAGTACAGTGTTGGCCCAGTCTCCCTCCCTCTGACCCGAACCATATTATACCACGGCACAGGAGGGATTT